TGGAGGTACGAGCGACCTTCATGACTAAGCCAATGCGGCGCTCAGCAACCCCATTCTGCTGCGGAGAGGCCGGAAGCGTGAACGACTGGGTGATGCCGTGCTCCGCACAGAAGGCTGCCAAGAGGTCTGAGGAGAACTCACCACCTCTGTCAGAGTGCAGACGCAGGACGGGAAACTCCGTCCCGAACCGCTCGCGGAGCTGGAGACGGGCAGCGCGGATCCAAGGGATCGAAACAGCAGTGATTGCTGCGCAGGGGAAAGACCGTGGTGTAACGCGTGTAGTCGTCAACAACCAGCAGGAAGTACCGCTCGTGGCCCTGTCCACGGACGCGGGCTGGGCCCCACACGTCCAGGTGGAGAGTCTGCAGGGGAGCCTCTATGGGAGGGAACGAGGAGGAGTGAGGAGCGGCGCGCTGCCGCCCCTCGACGCAAGGAATGCAGGGCGGCGCAAGCGAGGGAGGCAGGGCAGGCAAAGACCTGGGCAGACCAGAAACCAGGAAGCGAGAGTGCATGCCACGAAGGCGCTGCACCGAGGGGTGACCAAGGCGGTGGTGCCACAGGAGGGTCTGGTGCGACAAAGCGCGACACTCGCAGGGGGCCGTCGGCTGACCGGACGCAGACGCAGACGCAGCTACCTGAGGGGACGCAGTGGTCAGGGTGTACAGACTCGAGCCAGGCGCACGGGAAAACGTGGTCAGGTGCCGGCCGGTCCGAGCACACGTACAGTGAGTCACTCGCTGACTCGCAGGAGTGAACTGGTGCACCCCCTGATCCTGGAGGTCAGCTCCACTCACCAAGTTCGTAGAGAACGAGGGGAGGTAAAGACCTGACAGCAAGCCAGACGGGGCGGCCGGACACGGCAGAACCGTGGAGTAGTGGGCAAGGTCTGTTCCCCCGGAGGGGTCCGCCAGGGAGACTGGAACCGGCCGACTAAGCGGCGTGAGTGTGGTACAGTCGCGAAAGAAGGAGCGGGAAGCACCTGAGTCAAGCGTGAAGGTGTACAAGGCCGCAGCAGGCGCAGAACCAGAGAGAGCAGACTCACCAGCACCGGGAGCAGGAGACGTACTAGCACCTAGAGCAGCAGCCTCACCAGTACCTAGAGCAGGAGACACACTAGCACCTAGAGCAGCAGCCTCACCAGTACGAGGAGCAGCAGGTGCTATACCAGGGTCAGGCGGGACGCACAGGTAACAGGCACGGTCAACACTAGTAGGCAATGCATACATGGCAGTGAGAATAGCATCATAGTCAGGAGCAAAGATATCTACCCTCTGTCCAAGCAGCTCCAGCCAGTCGGGGAGCTCAGCCTCGTCGCCAAACACTGTACGCCAGTCGTCGCTCAGACGGGCGAAGCAGCGGGACTGTGTATGACCAAGCGTCCCGCAAGGCTGACCAACCCGATCACCTGTGCGAATGACGTACTGGCAGCGAACTGTACGCGTAGACCTGCTACACTGAGCGTACCACTCGTGGAGCTGCCGGGACGTAAGTGTCTCGCGCGGACGCCGCTGCAGCTGCAGCTGGCCACTGCCAGACGCTCCCAACTGACCAGCTCCAGGGGGACAGCTACGACGGCTACCGCGACAACCCCAGCTAGTATACCACTCACTAAGCTGCTGGGGCGTGAGAGACTCACGTGAACGTCGCTGGAGCTGCATCTGGCCACCGGCCAGTAGCAGTAGCAGCAGCAGTAGCGCGGGCAGGGCAGGCGCGGCAGGCCGACAGGCAGGCAGGCCGGCAGGCAGGCAGGCAGGCAGGCCGGCAGACAGGCAGGCAGGCAGGCAGGCAGACAGACAGGCAGGCCGGCAGGCAGGCAGGCAGGCCGGCAGGCAGGCAGGCAGACAGGCAGGCCGGCATGCAGACAGACAGACAGGCAGGCAGGCAGGCAGGCAGGCCAGCAGGCAGGCAGGCAGGCAGGCAGGCAGACAGGCAGGCCGGCAGGCAGGCAGGCAGGCGCTCACCAAAGGCTGGAAGAGCAGGCGCTCGCCGGGCGAGCAGGGCCGGCGCTCGACGGGCGGCGGCCGAGTAGGCGCACGACAGCGGCGACGTCGGGGCCGCAACACCCGGTGCAGAGTAGGGCCGAAGCAGCTGCAGGGCGGGGCCGCGTCAGCGGCAGGTCGGGGCCGTGGCAGCTGCAGGGCGGGGCCGCATCAGCGGCAGGTCGGGGCCGAGGCAGAGGGACGCGCGCGGCTCGGCGCGGGCTGCTGCGGGCCGCGCGCGGGCTGCGCGCGGCAGCAGCGGGCTGCGCGCGGCTCGGTGCGGGCTGCGCGCGGCTGCAGCGGGCTGCGCGCGGCTCGGTGCGGGCTGCGCGCGGCTGCAGCGGGCTGCGCGCGGCTCTGTGCGGGCTGCGCGCGGCTGCAGCGGGCTGCGCGCGGCTCTGTGCGGGCTGCGCGCGGCTGCAGCGGGCTGCGCGCGGCTCGGTGCGGGCTGCGCGCGGCTCTGTGCGGGCTGCGCGCGGCTCGGTGCGGGCTGCGCAGGCCTGAAGGGCGTGTAGGGGCGGCGCGCGGGCCTTACGGGCCTCTAGGGGCAGCGCGCTGGCCTAGGGCAGCAGGAGGCAGCACTAGGGCTGCTGGACGGCTCGCGTAGTGCAGCACGTCACAAGGCAAGGCAAGGCAGGCAGGTACGTGGGGTAACCCGGTAACCGCAGCGGTAGGTGGGCCCGAAAAAAAAAAAAACGGTCCTACGGACCTTAGTGCTCTTAAACCATGTTAGAAAGTAGCAGCAGGAATGATGAACTAACAGCATGCAGGAGTACAAGTACTAAACCCTAATTGGGTTGTACCCCACATGGGCTACCCCACTACAGCCTAGACAATATGCAGCATATATGTTTGACAGACAGGGCCTCTGGAAGACAAGCGGGAGCAGTGCCAGTTACGTGCCCGGGCTTGGCCTCGTTCGTTTGGAGGGTTTGTTTTGACGTTTCTTATTTTGTTGATGTGCTGCATTTGCCTTTTTTAAAACTTGCAAAACAATGTGGTGTTACTTTCAATCTCGATTACAATTTTCCACGTGATATATCATTCCCTGTCTTTCTCTGCAGTCCTTGTCTCCAGCCACACAAGCAAATATCAAGAACACTGCATCTATCACAACCGCAAAACTTTGTGTGGCGTGTGTGCGGGTGTCCTGCGAAAGGTAGGCGTCGGAATGGAATATCTCCTTCGCTTTGAAATTTTCATTTTCGAGGAATTATGAAACACAATCTACCCAACAGCCGCAATTATGCCAGTCCTTCACCTTCACATGCTTAACGCGTGTGTCGTGCGCTGGACCTCCGAGATTCTGACGCGGATCACATGGAGCTGACTATTTACTTTCGTATCATTGGTAGAAGGTGCCTTTTCGAGTTTCTCAGGGATAATGATGTATTTCGCACGGACTTATCCGTGACTCAATTGGAGGAGAAGAAATATAGCCTGACAAGGTCGACCTTTTCCTCTTGGAGAAGTCCACCCTTGTTACACGAGAGAATTGCAAAGAAACAAGTAGGCCAAAAAGCATATTCGTGACGTGGCGAAGGCTGGTCTCATATTCACTGTGTCAACTATAACAAAATTTACGGAAAAGTAGTACAGTAAGAGTATATTACAATAAGGTTCTGCCAGTTTTGTTTAGAAATGTTTTATTTTCGATTCCCTTCAAGATGTTGGCGGGATTGGTGACGTGAATGGAGGGATGTCACTCGTCCACACCCCCACGTGGCGAATTTATCTCATCTCGTCTGACGTATTGGCACTTGAATTCCCTCGCTGGCGTGGCGGCCGATGGCCATTCGTCGTCAGTTGGTCTATTCAAGCTGGGGGAGGTTGCTGCTGCTGAACAGCATCTCTGTCTTTCGAGTTCTGACTGAAAGAGATGATACTGTACAGTGCCAAGAGATTGGTCACGCCATTACAGAACCTCACGCAGCACTGCCAGCAGAGATACAGTATTCCGCTTGCTCCTTGGAGCAAACCGACCGAACATTTGTGAGCCGTAACTTCTCGTCCTTGGCGGGATCGTCTGGGATTGGCCGAGTGTACACGAAACTGTTCACTGATGTGGCGAATGTGCGCCTCCTCACGGAGAAATCCTGCTGCAGCATCTGCGTTCTGCCCACCCGCCTGCAGTCTGGTGTACGGCTGGCCGTTTGAGGTGGCATTGTTTCGGGACCGCCGCTGACGCGGAGATTTCACGAAGTGAAACTGAGCGCCAGCGGAGCGGGGAAAAGCTGATATGCACAGTCCATCCCCCAATCTCCTGCGCAGTCGAGCGCGCCGAATCCTGTCAAACTCCATTGCGCAGAGCCCCGCGCATGCCGCTTCCCCCAACCACGCCCCATCCATCCCCCAAGCAACCGCATCGAGCCTGCAATGGCCTCTGGCGCGAACTCTCGACTCCACTCGCATGGCAACTCGTTGCTGCTACCTTGGCCTCCCTCCCGTGCTCGCCTCACCCTTGTCTTGTGTGGCTTCAGTTGCCTCCATCCTTCCCGACTCTCCCGACATTTCCCGATTTCCCCCCTAACCGCACTTCCCGCCCGCACCCCAGCAGCACAGAAGCAGCACAGTAGCAACGCCTCAGTTCCTCTCCTCCTCTCCCGTCCCAACGAGTCCACTCTTTCCTCTCTTCGCACGCCACGCAGCTTGGCTGGGTCTGGGTTTTGGGAGTCGAGGGGCTGCAATGGGGTGGGATGGGAGGTGCATTTGGACAGGAGATTGAAAGGTGTAGCTGCACGCAACCAATTCCCTGCCCTGATTCATCAGTCCGGCCTTCACACACGCAACTGCCAGCATACTTAGCCGTACTCTGCTCCTGCTTTGTCACCAATCCCATCCCATTCCATAATTCCGCCTCACTCCATCTCCCACGTGAACCGGTTCATTGTGGACGCACACAACCGTTTCCGTCAACGTTTCCACTTCCCTGCATTCTTGCTCGTTTATCTCTTCGCCCTTGTACCATATCGTAGCATCGAGCAGAAATTTCCAGTTCTTGTTAATCTAGAAGTGGCCCTTATGGGGCTCCCCGTGAATTACGCTCGTACTCCCGTCAACGACGCCAATGTTCGCGCCTGGCTGCGAGGCTCCATCGACGACGCCATGTGCGACGTCGCTCACTCGTTACAGTCACAAGCAAACGACACAATGGACACAGATCTCCAGCCCGAGCACACCGCATCGCTACCCAGATCCTATGGAAGCCATTTCCCGTTCAGTATTTCCCGTTTTTTCAGCCGGAAAGGCTCCCGGCGAGCGCTTATTTCGCGGCTCGACCATCCCGATGCGGCGGCGGACCTCGCGAGCCGAAATGGTTCTTTGAGCGCGACGGAGGACGCGGCGGTTAGCCACCACATGAGCTGCATGCTTCCTGAGTGAGTAGGGGTGCTATATAATGCAATGCCTGCGAGCGCATTACTATTCAATACAGTCCCTGCGAGCGCTGCGAGAGCTTCAAGAACGGGTGAGGAAAGTAAATGTTCCTGTTCAGCCTGTACTTTACTTCCTTTTCCCCTGTTTCTCAGTTTCCATGAGAGCCTAGAGGGTGGAAGAGAGAACGGGAGAGGTTGGAGCTCCGAAAGTGGGAGAGCTATGCGTCGGGCCGACGCAGCATCAGTCCCTACCTTAGTTTGAAAGTCTCTTGTCTGATCCATGTCTCTTCCACTCCGTTCTCTCGACCTTCGCTGTCCCTCCCTGCAGCTATGTTGCCAAGAACTATTCGCGGTCCGACGTGCTGCAGCACATGGACCTTCTTAAGGAGGCGTCGGCGCTTAAAGAGGGCGTGCCTGCGCTGCGGCTCGACATGCGCGCGACCGACAGCGGCGACTCGACGACGACGGGCGACGAGAGCGAGACGGACGACTCGTCGATTGGCGGGTTTTCGTTATCGTCAGTGGACGACGTCTCGTGCACGGGCATCATGAGCATCAGTTTCGCGTGTAGCGCGCGCGTATGCAAGCGGAGCTTGACCGCCGCCTTCCAGCGCACCGGCGTCCGCGTTTTAGACTGCTCCGTGTTCCGAACAGTCCACGGGTACACATTGGGTTTTTTCACGGTCCGAGCGGCTATATCGCAGATATCGAAGCGACAAATAGAGGAGATATTTATGGCCGCCGGCAAGCAGACCTCGCGACCCCGCTCAGCCACTTCCATCCCGACCACAATTCACAACTGCCAGTCAGAACTGTCCACGTCAGCGCTAGATAGACCAATCCTAACCTCCGACGGTTCGGCGCGGAAGCCGCCTGTTAGTCCAAGTCTCACGCCTCGAGCCCCATCGTCGAAGAGTGTCGCAGGCGACGCTAACGACCTCCTGCAAGTGTTACTCTTCAACAGCCGCAGCCCGTCGAACCAATTCTGCGAGTTTCTTCTCAATCCGCTCAAGCTCGAAATCGGCGCGCTTATCGCCGTGGGCGCGTCGGGCGAGGTGCGTCGCGGCAGCTACGAGGGAAAGGCGGTGGCTGTGAAGATAATGAAGGGTGACACAATCGATCGCCATGCCAGCGCGACGGAATTTCGACAGGAAGTGCAGACGCTGATATCGTGCGACGAGTGCCCGCGACTGCTGGAGTTTGTCGGTGTGTGCCTCGACACGCGCCGTCGCATGTGCATCGTCACGCGACTCATGGAAGGCGGCACGCTCAGCGACCTTGTGCGACGTCGCCACGGCGAGCGGCTCCCGCTCGGCGACGCTCTGCGAATCGCGCACGACGTCGCAGAGGGCATGGCGTTTCTCCACGCGCGCGGCGTGATTCACCGCGACCTGAAATCCGCCAACGTCCTCCTCGATTCTGCCGGTCGCGCGGTCGTCGGCGATTTTGGCGTGGCGCGGCTGAAGGGGGAGCGCGGCGACATGACCAAGGAGGTCGGAACTTACCGTTGGATGGCGCCTGAAGCGTTCGGAACGAGCGCGTGGCACGTGACGCACAAGAGCGACGTGTACAGCTTCGGGGTCGTGCTTTGGGAACTCGTCGCGTGTCAGGTTCCGTTTGAGGATTATACTCCGTTACAAGCAGCGGTGGCGGTGGCGCTTAACGGGTTGCGGCCGACGATTCCGGCGGATTGCCCGGCGGGGCTGCGACGGCTGATTGAGCGGTGCTGGGATAAGTGCCCCGAGGCGCGCCCCGAGTTTGACGAGGTCGTGAAGGAAATCGCGGCGCTGCAAGAGCAGTTTTGCCCGGGGACGGCTGTATCTGGACATTAGGGGCAAGCCAAGCACTGACGTGACTGACTGATCGTTCCCTAAGGTGGAGACTGGCTTGCCTACGGTGGAACATAGTTCTTGGACCAGTCGTGATTATCCTGCTGCTGATGCTCCCTGAACCGTCTGAGGAGGTGCACCGTGTGGGGCAAGGCAGCCAGTGTGGAACGGGTAGAGGATAGAGTAAGGCTCACACCATGGGCGCAAGCCTTGTGAGCAGGGTGCTGGCACAGAGTTCTGGAAAGGGAGCTGGTGAAGCGTGGATGACGAGACGCGCTTGTACAGAGGACAGAAAGAATCGGTCATCGTTGCTGGGCTTGTATCAGTTTAGTGTTCTCACATGCAGTTTTGTTCAGCTCAGAAGGTTCTACGGAGCACAATGGTGGTATTTTGTAGGTAGCAGTGTTGTGGAGATGCACACAAGTGCACATGCCAATGTACAGAGTCCGTCATGACAAGCAGAAATGTAATTAGCCGCCTCTTGCTGAGGTCATTCCCAGGGCATGGCTGCCTTGTTGTGAGCTCCATTTCTTGCTTTGTCTGCTGGTGTGCATCTCTGCCTTGATTTGCCTCTGTGTCGCTCAACAGAGTTCTGTAGTGACTTGCATGTAGTGGACAATACTACCGGTACCAAGTTCTCATCATCAGTCACGAGCGAACATACAGATGCTCATTCTATGGGAAACCCTTCGATATGATTGTGAACACCACTGACCTCCAACTGTCTTGTCGCATAATGGTCTCACTAGTACCGGAGGTGTTTTGCGGCATCCTCAATCTCTGGAGGTTAGCGAGATGGATTGGCGGACTTGAGCGTAGCTTACCCATGTGGGTGACCACGTGGTTAGGGGGAAATGTCTGCTGCGCTCCAAATCTCGGCTGGGACTGTCTGACGCAGGTCGACCTCATATCGCCGTGTTCAAAAGCTGATGCCGTATGATGAATTGCCAGATGGAAAGTTTATCGTGTGCTGCGCGTGGTCGCCGCCGAAATGAGAGCACGATGATTTGTCGTAAAGCCACCGAGGCATGCGTGGGTTTAGCGGAGGCAGCAATGCAGATTGTGAACTGGGCTTGGTTCGAAGCTGAGGTAAGAGGTTGCCTTGGATACGAACCTCTTACCAGACATCCATCCCGTTTCATCTAAACCACAGGTCTACCAGCCTCTGACACGTCTTTCTCTCCGAGGCAAAAAAATATCAGGTATGGCAGCGCAAAACCACATCCCCTGAGCTCCTCCGAGCCAGTCAGCTTCGGCTTTGCGGAGTCGCAAATTTCTGCCCAGCCGTAACCCGCGCGGTCCTGCGCCAATCTCCCGCCTTCCGCATCCCGCTCTACCTGACTCTCCCTGCCTGAACCGCTGTCGCGCGCATCTCAATTCCGCCCGCTCTGATTCGCGCGCGCGCCTCTGCGCCAACCAGCCCCAGTCATTGCCATGGCTGCTCCGCATATTCGTCTCGCGCATTTCGCGTCCCTTGGCTGTCGTATTATTATTATTCCAAGTTTCTATTTCTTTGTGTACGGGTCTCCTTGGCATGCTTCCCTGACTTCTTTCCGCTCAGTCTTCATCTTCACTGGTAGAGTCCCTGCTTCGTTGTCCTTCGAATCTCTTTCACGAAGATTCGAGATCTGGATCGCCGTCGTCGCTTCCTCACTGATTACCCTGACATCTCGAAATAGTTCAGCCGAGTAAATCTCATCTGCAGCATTCCTTATCAGCTCTCTCGCGTATATATTCATTCCACTGCCTGTCGCAGCGCCAGCTTCCACCTGACGCTGTTCAGCCATTGCCGGCTCTTCCGTTGCGATTATCATGGCATCTCTGCGACAATGTATATCGCCGGCGATCGCATCCATTCAAGACCCAGCGCTTTCGTCGTTTCGAGATCATCAAGCCACCCTCCATGCGCCATTCTTCGGCTTCTCATTGGCCAATGTCCCGCAACCGGGGACATTACACGTGTCCGCTCCCACCGCGATCGGCGCTGGCGTCTCCTCGCAGCGCCTCACAGTCATCGCGAAGGCGAATCCGAAGCATCAGGAGCATCAGCAGTCGTCGAAGAAACCGGGATCGACCGCCAAGGTCGCTTCTCGCCGGCAGACCAACACCCGAGTCGCAGTCCAGGGCTACCAAGGCGGGAACCGGACGGAAGGCGACGCGTCGTCGGACGAGGACGCGGCGCGCGCGGAGGATCTGCGCGACGCGCTGAAGGAGGCGCAGTTCGTGCGGTGGTTCCGCGAGGCGTGGCCGTACATTCAGGGCCACCGTGGCAGCACGTTCGTGATCGTCGTTCCTGGCGATGTCGTCGCGAACCGTCAGATCTTCGACTCCATCCTGCAGGTTCGACCCCGTTTCCGTGGTCCCCGTTATAGGAACAAATGTGAATCGAAGGGCCTGACTCCAATCCGCAGGTTCGACCCTGGATTTCACGAATGTGAACAAACAGGGGTTGCTGTCATGCTCCCCGTTGTAAGAACGATTGTGAATAACAGGCAAAGTGCAAAGAGAGGAGCAAAGTGCAAAGTGCACTTTGCTTGTCACTCGATTGTGCAGGTTCGACCTCGGAACTGTCCTGAACCGACTCAAACAGAGAGCTTTTCCCTCCCCCTCCGCTTCCCGCTCTTCGACCTCCCTCCTTCCGCCCGTCAGGAAGTCGCGCTGCTGCACGGTTTGGGGGTGCGCATCGTGCTCGTGGCGGGGAGCCACGTGCAGATCAACGCTCGACCCAGCTCTCCCTGATCCCCCTCCTCTTCACTTCCGCCTCCCCCCCTTCCCCCTTCCCCCTTCGGTTCCCCCCGTCGCAGGATGTAGCGTTGCTGCACGGGTTGGGAGTGCGAATCGTGCTCGTGCCGGGGAGCCACGTGCAGATTAACGAGCTCCTCGAGGAGCGCGGCGTCGCGTCCGTGTTTCACGGCGCGTATCGCGTGACGGACACGGAGGCGCTGGCGGCGGCGATGGAGGCGTCGGGGCGCACGCGCGTGGACATCGAGGCGAAGCTGTCGCGCGGCCCGGTGATCCCGGTGCTGCGAAGGCACGGCGAGAGCGAGAAGTGGCACGAAGTGGGCATCAGCGTCGCTAGTGGCAACTTCGTGCACGCCAAGGTGGGGCGCGGTTCAGTGCGGTTGGAAGGAATGCCAATGTAGGGCGAGATGGAATTCCAAGGTCATCGTAATCTGACATTATTTTCCGCGTCATTGCATCACCCGTCCTCAAGTTCTGTCATCACAAACCCGTTCTCTGTGCGGTTCTGTGTGGTGGTGTACAGCGGCGGGGCGTGGTGGGCGGCGTGGACTACGGGGCGACGGGCGAGGTGAAGCGCGTGGACGTGGCGCGCATCAGGAGCCGCCTCGACAGCAGCTGCGTCGTGCTGCTGAGCAACCTCGGATTCACCCCGGCCGGAGAGGTTCTAAACTGCAAGTGAGTGCTGCGCTGCGCCGCTCTGCTTTTACTCACTCGTCAGTAGCGTCTGCTTTTGCTCTGCTGATCTGCCTGCTGGACGGTGCAGTCGCGGGCAACCGCGGGCGGCTGATTCGGTGGGTCACTCAACACACCCACACCCACACCCGCTCTCCCCCGTTCCCCTCCCCTCTCGTCCCGTCCCTTTTGGTCCCTTCATGTCCCTCGCAGCACGTATGAGGTCGCCACGGCGTGCGCCATAGGCTTAGGAGCCGACAAGCTCATCTGTCTTCTCGACGGCGCAGTCGCGGACAACCGCGGGCGACTGATCCGGTGGCTGACGCTGCAGCAGGCGGATGTCATTATAAGGAACCGCGCCACGCAGAGCTATACCGCTGCAGAGTATGTTAAAGCCGTCGCCGGGGAGGAGTACATTAGGAGCCTCGGGCTCGTCGGCGCGCAGGGCGCGGGGGGCGGGGAGGGGGATGGCGCGGGGGAGGGGAGGCGGAAGAAGGGGAAGCGGGGGAAGAAGAAGCGGGGTGAGGGGTGGGAGGAGGGAGCGAGGGGAGGGGGAGACGAGGAGGAGGAAGAGGAGGAGGTAGCAGCGAGCATGGAGAGATGGAAGGCGCAGAGGGCTCTGTATAGCATGAGCTTTGAGAAGCCTGGACCGCCCCTGCCCACGTTCAGTGGCGGACGGGAGGGGGGGGACGCGCGGAGCAGCAGGCCCAATGGCGCGGGCGCAGGGGGGTTGGGCGCGCGGGAGAGCTGGGGGAATGGCGCATTGGCGGAGGCGGGGTTTGGGGAGGGTGCTGCGCGCGGGTGGGGGGGGAATGGGGGGAGTGGCGGGGCGGGGAGGGCGGAGGAGAGGCGGGGGTTTGCAGTGGGCGGAGAGGAGCGATCGGTGCAGCGATACGGGTTCCTGTCGGAGCTCACTGCTGCTGTTTATGCATGCCGGGTGAGTGGGGGGGGGTTGTGGGAAGAAAGACGGATCTGGTGAGAAAGAGGAGCGGTTGGCACAGCGATATGGGTTCCTGTCAGAACTGACTACTGCTGTGGGAGAAGCGAGGGGTGTGGCGAGGGCTGATTTGACGTGGCGGGGCAGAGAGGAGCAGTCGGTGCATCGATACGGGTTCCTGTCAGAGCTCACTGCTGCTGCTTATGCCTGCCGGGTGAGTGAGGAGGGGGCTAGGGCCTCCTGTGTGCAAGTGTGCCCCCACACCATCCCTCTTTATCCCTCTTCACCCCTCCCCACCACATGGTGCGGTGCTGTGGGTGCACCTACTGCTGTGCCTTCGACCCTCTTCACCCGTCTTCACCCCCCTTCAACCCTCTGTACTCCTCGATAACAGGGCGGGGTGAGGCGGGTGCATTTATTGAACAGTGCAGTGGAGGGCACATTGCTACTGGAGCTGTACACGCGTGATGGCGTCGGCACCATGGTGTCCAGGTGAGGAGAGGGGGCAAGGGGGGACGGAGCTTTACATGCCTTGAAGGGGGCACATGCCTCGTGCCGTGGTAACGCATGGAGCTGTACGCGCGCGACGGCGTCGGCGTCGGCACCATGGTGTGCAGGTGAGAGCAGGGTGGAGCAGGGTGGTGTGGTGTGGCTGGCAGGTGGCAGATGAATGTTTGCAGTGAGAGAGGGGGGTTGCTCAAGTTAGGCGGTTTGCTGGAGTGGGGGGAGCGTGCAGGTGGTGTCAGCAAGTACTGCTTGTGTGTGCCACTCGCGTACCCCCTCCTCTCTTCCTCTATCTCGCTCATCTTACTCGATCAGCCAGTGACATGACATGTAAGAGGCACACGGGCATGGCCTCGCCTCCTTACCCCCTCTACGCCCCCTCTCCCTCCCATCCACACTCCCTCCCTCCCCTCCACACTCCCTCCCTCCCATCCACACTCCCTCCCTCCCATCCACACTCCCTCCCTCCCATCCACACTCCCTCCCTCCCTCTCTGTGTGGCCCCGTCTTCGCAGTGATCTGTACGAGGGCACGAGGGCAGCTCAAGTGTCGGACATGCCCGGCATCAGAGCGCTGCTGGAACCCCTGGAGGCTGCTGGCGTGCTGCTTCCTAGAGGGGATGAGCAGGTGAGTGTGAGCGGAGTGAGTGTGAGCGGAGTGAGTGTGAGCGGAGTGAGTGTGAGCGGAGTGAGTGTGAGCGGAGTGAGTGTGAACATGTTGTGTGAGCGGAGTGAGTGTGAACATGTTGTGCGAGTGAGACCCAAGGGAGCACAACGGCCGCAGCATACAGTGTGTACTCTGACAAATCCTTATCTCCATGCTCACTCTCATTCTTCTTCCACCCCTCCATTTGTCCTTGTTTGGATTGTCCTCCCTCTCATTGCCCTCCCATCCAGCTGCGCAGGGAGCTGCCGTTCTTCACGGTGGTGGAGAGGGACGGCCACACCATCGCCTGTGCACTGATGCCGATCTGACACTGCGAAGTCATACTCTATCTTCCACGCCTCCTTCTGTCCCCCCTCGCATTCCCTTCCATATCAGCTGCGCAGGGAGCTCCCATTCTTCACGGTGGTGGAGAGGGACGGCCACACCATCGCCTGCGCGGCGCTCTTCCCCTTCCCCTCCGCACGCATGGCTGAAGTCGCTGCCTTTGCCGTCTCGCCTGCATCAAGAGGGAACGGGCGGGGAGACAACCTGCTGGGTGAGTGGTGGGAGTGTAAGGGCATGAAGGGCATGAAGGTGCATGAAGGTGCATGCTCAAATGCTCTTCCCCTTCCCCTCTGCGCGCATAACGGAGGTCGCTGCCTTTGCCGTCTCGCCTGCATCGCGAGGGAATGGACGCGGGGACAACCTACTAGGTATGTGCTGCCATGTGCTGCCATGTGCTGCCATGTGCTGCCTGTGCTGTGCTGTGGATGGGTGAGTGGTTGGCTGTGAGTGGTGGTGGGGGACAACCTGTTGCGGCAAGGAAGATCAATGCTTTTCCATAAGCTCAGAGCCTGTAGCTGTCTCTGTGTCTATCAGCTTGTATCACCGTGTGCATTCATCCAGCGCTTCCCACCTTCTCTCCCATGGTTTCCCCTTGCCTCCTCTCGCCCCATTTCCGCCTGGCAGCGTACTTCAAGAAGCGTGTGGCGGAGATGGGCATGGGCATGGAGAAGCACTGCAGGGGCCTTGCACGGCCTGGCTAGGGACTAGGCCGACGGATATCCGACTTGTTACACGCCCCTCCCTTCCATACCAACTTCTTACCTTCCCTCCCGTTGGTTCCCCTCGCGTCCTCCCCACACACCCCACTCCTTTCCCCCCTGCCAGCGTACTTGGAGAAGCGGGCGATGGACATGGGCATGGAGAAGCTGTTCCTCATGACCACACGCACGGCCGACTGGTGAGTGATTAGGGCGTGTAACCTTTTTTTTTTTTTTTGTGATTTTTCGGACCGTCCGTATATTTTAAAACGGACGGTCCTAATATCGAGAAACGGACCGTCCGATGTGACGTTTCGGAACCTTGCCATCGTCTGGAGAGAAACATGACACTTTTTGCCAGTACTCCGGCTTCGCGACTACTGTAGTCTCGCGTAGCTCCCGCGACACTCGTAACCAAATACACAAGCTGTCGCAAGAAAAATTCGTTTGCCAATCCCTGCGCAGGTTCGCAGAGTGAAATTCGCCCGCCAATCCCTGCACAGAACTGGCGGATGGTCCGTTGGGGTTTCGGACTGTCCGAATGCACATTTTGGACCGTTGGAAACGTGGAAAAGTGTCATGACGGTTCGGAATGTTGGCGATGTCGCAAGGAGTTCCACGAACTGACTTTCGAAATGCTGCGACTCTTGTAACTCTTCGCTAATCCGGACGGTCCACATTTCGGACCGTCCGGAACAAAAATAGGCAAAATGGTTACACGCCCTTAAAGGGAGTGGAAGAAGCAGAGGTGATGTGAGTGGCTGTGGATGCTTGTAGCAGAGACTGCGTGTGTGTGTGTGTGCGCGGTGGACATGGGCATGGAGAAGCTGTTCCTCATGACCACACGCACGGCGGACTGGTGAGTGGATGGGGGGGGGTGGGAGATTCAGAGGTGATGTGAGTGTCTGTGGATGCTTGTAGCAGAGACCGCGGGCGTGGATGTGCAGTGGACATGGGCATGGAGAAGCTGTTCCTCATGACCACACGCACGGCGGACTGGTGAGTGGATGGGGGGGGGTGGGAGATTCAGAGGTGATGTGAGTGTCTGTGGATGCTTGTAGCAGAGACTGCGGGCGTGGATGTGCAGTGGACATGGGCATGGAGAAGCTGTTCCTCATGACCACACGCACGGCGGACTGGTGAGTGGATGGGGGGGGGTGGGAGATTCAGAGGTGATGTGAGTGTCTGTGGATGCTTGTAGCAGAGACCGCGGGCGTGGATGTGCAGTGGACATGGGCATGGAGAAGCTGTTCCTCATGACCACACGCACGGCGGACTGGTGAGTGGATGGGGGGGGTGGGAGATTCAGAGGTGATGTGAGTGTCTGTGGATGCTTGTAGCAGAGACTGCGGGCGTGGATGTGCAGTGGACATGGGCATGGAGAAGCTGTTCCTCATGACCACACGCACGGCGGACTGGTGAGTGGATGGGGGGGGTGGGAGATTCAGAGGTGATGTGAGTGTCTGTGGATGCTTGTAGCAGAGACCGCGGGCGTGGATGTGCAGTGGACATGGGCATGGAGAAGCTGTTCCTCATGACCACACGCACTGCAGATTGGTGCATGACAGTGTGTGGATGCTTGTAAAAGAGGTGGTGGTGGCCATGGGCATGGCCATAGCAGGGCATGGCCATAGCAGGGCATGGCCATAGCATGGGCATGGCCATAACATGGGTGAGTGGTTGGCACATTCAGGAAGAAGGTGCAGCTCGGGCTGCCTTCCGCCGGTGCCGTCCGCTAGGTGATGAGTGTTCGGTTAGGACATATCAAAGGAGGATCCGTCACATGTGATGTGATGTGATGGCAAGATCTTTGCTGGGCAATGCGCGCTCTCGCTCCCCCACAACCCCGTTGTGACTTTTGAGTCGACTCAAAGGTCGCAGTGCGGCCCTCACTCCCCCACAACCCCGTTCTCCTCATGCCCACTCAACCCTGCCTCTTGTGACTTGTGTCCCTTGTGCCTGCAGGTTTGTGCACCGGGGGGTTTGTCCCGTGCGACCTGGAGAGCCTACCAGAGGAGAAGCTGAAGAAGGTGGATCGCAGCCGCGGCTCCAAGAGTTTTCTCCTCATGTTCTACATGCCTCTTGTGACTTTTGTCCCTTGTGCTTGCAGGTTCGTCCACAGGGGCTTCGAGCCGTGCGAGCTGGAGCGGCTACCAGAGGAGAAACTGAAGAAGGTGGACCGCAGCCGGGGGTCAAAGAGCTTTGTGAAGGACCTGGAAGTGAGCGACGAGGAGGATGCTGACAGTGATGACGAGTGGGGTGACGATGGCTTGCCGACCGACCTTCCCAAGTATAGTTAGGCAGGAATGGATGGTGGCGGTAAGGAGGAGGACAGGGGTGGGAGCTGCAGCCGCGGCTCCAGGAGCTTTGTGAAGGACCTGGAAGTGAGCGACGAGGAGGATGCTGACAGTGATGAGGAGTGGGACGATGCCGGGTTACCAACCGACCTTCCGAAGTATAGTTAGGCAGGAATGGTGGTGGTAGTCAGGACTCAGGGGTGAACTCGCGGCAGGAGGGTCCAAGAGCTCAGTGAAGGACCTAGAAGTGAGTGATGAGGAGGATGCAGACAGCGATGAGGGGGATGCAGACAGCGATGAGGAGGATGCAGACAGCGATGAGAAGTGGGACGATGGCGGACTGCCCACCGACCTTCCCAAGCATTCTTAGGGCGGATCAATGGTGGAGGTGGTCAGGACAGGAGTAGACAGCAGCCAGGGGGGTGGGGGGGAGGGGAGTTAACAGCTTCGTGAAGGACCTGGAAGTGAGCGATGAGGAGGATGATGAGGGGGATGACGAGGAGGATGATGCGGGGCTGCTGACTGATCTTCCCAATTTTTCCATGGCTGGAGTGAGGGTGGCAGGCAGCCCATAGGGCAAGAGCTCCGCGAAGGGTATGGAGACGAGTGACGAGGAGGATGCGGATACCGTATTTACCCGGCTAATACACCCCCGGGTTTTATCCTACCCCGGGTAAAATTAAGGGGTGTATTTATTATCAGGGTGTAAATGTATTAGACCCGGGGCTTAATCCCATGTGTTGTTTTTTCTCGAAGGCACAGTCAAACACTATTGTTACAGCTCGAACTGAACATTTACATTGTCGCGTCAGGTGCTAAATTCGATCACGCGCGTGCGCGAGACCAGCACGTGGCGATTCACTGACGTCAGCTGGAATTTCGGACTGGCTTGACTTTTCCTCCCTACAATTTCACTCGATATGTATGTGTTTACCGAAGAGGGGGTCTTAAGCGGATACGTTACAAAAAAACGGGTTTATTACTTTAGTGCAGATAGGATTAGACCCGCCCCTATTTAATGACCCGGGGGGCTATTATTTTGGGGGGGCTATTAGCCGGGTAATTACGGTAGTAATGACGAGAGGAATGATGCTGACTAGCTGACCAATCATTGGGCAGGGGTGGTGAGTGGTAGCGGTGGATGTTAGGAGCTTGCTAAGCATAAAAGTGCAGTAGCTGCTTATATGTGCAGCTATGTGGTTAGGTGATGGCAATAAGGTGTCAGATATCAAAAGCACATCGGTAGGAAGTAATAGTGCGAATGTAGCAGGGGAGGGAACAAGATAGTGGAACAAGGCACTACAAACATAGTAGTGTATTTCCTGACGAAGTGTAGAAGTAAATTACGCATAATTGGGGTGGAATTTGCACCATTTGATATCAAAGTATGCGTGTAGTGCAGCAAGCTTGGGTGGGGCTTGGCTTGGTGCCTTCTTTTGGCCATTGTGGTTGGTTGGTGGATGCGATACGATACGGGATGGGATGGGACGAGAGGAGTTGGGCTCTGGTCTGGTGAGGGAGGTGGTGCGCGTGCACGAGCGCTCTTTGGAGGACGTCCCTGCCGCGCACACTTGGCAAAACAGCTGCGTTCAGCGGAGAGCCGTTTCAACGCAGATAACGAAAAGCCAATCAGAACCCGAAGAACTCCCAGCTAGCGGCGCAGCCGGGAGTAGCGGGCTGAAGCGGAGTGTACTGACGTTTTAAGATAACAATCCGATGGGTTTTTCTGAGTTATCCCACAGGCACTCTCACTTGATTGAAGCATTGCAGCTGTTTCAATCAAGGGCTCTGCAGACTCATGGAAACTCACAATACCCACCTCGGTTTGGTGCCAGACCTTTCTAGGAGGAACGAAAAAACTGGTATATATTGGTATACCTGGTGCTACACCTGTCTAGGTTGCGTGCGAGGGTGCTACAGAAACGAGTTTAGGAGTGCCGATTTGTGCCGATCAGCTGGAGGAACTCGTTACTCGCGGACAAGGTAGTTTGCCAAATGGCTTGGCCTCAGTGGTTCCTCCGAACGACCTCCTCGAAACACTCAGAGGTTCATACGAGCAGTAACAGTAAAACACGGGCGAATCCGCAACCGTTTGCGCGTGCTCGCGGAAGCGATCTGCCCGCGGGCAAAAAAAAACTAAACCCCATCGCGACCGGCATGCGGCTCGGGAGCCTCAACCCTAAAATTTTAGTGTTGAGGCTCCCGAACGGCATGCGGGTCGCGATGGGGTTTAGTTTTTTTTGCCCCGGACAGACAGCTTCCGCCGGCTCCGCGTCCTGGTGGAAACTCGTTTCCACCAGGGGGGCACCTGGTGGAAATGCGCCCACCAGGGCTCGTAGGAACTCAAGGTGGCTACTGGTGATGAAACCCCAACCTGCCACCCACCCGATGGATCATTCGAACGCAGCGCACACTCACCAATTCGCGACTCGCTTCAAATCGCATGACGGGCCGCAGGTAGGGCTCCCAGCAAATCAGACCCCGCCATGACCGCAGCGGTCCTTTCACAACCATCCGCTAGTGTTTGCGTGGGTACAGTAATTGTAATGTGGTTTGACCCTTGTGAACGGTTCCAAAATTTGCTCGCGTGAATTATGGGTTGTGTTCCACTGCAGGGAAAGGACGTTTGCAGTGAAGACTGCAAAAACTCCATAACGTTTAGATGACACTTACGACCGTATTGGGCTGCCGTGTTTGGTCGGTCGCAACGGGTGAATTTGATAAACGGCGAGGCCCAACCATCTTCCCCTCCCCACCTTCTCATGGATGTCTCGATTGCACTGTGAACCTCCCTCTCCCCCTATCAGCCGTCGATGCTACTACCCGATGATTCATCGGAGGGCAGTGGTGACGCGAGCGTGAGCTCGGCGTTCAACCACATCCATCCATCAGCAGGCATGGTCGTCAGCACCTTTCACATCACCCAACCGAGCTCCACTCTACCACACACGCTCCCCCTCTCTGGGGCTCAAATTCTGGGCAACAACAACCGATGACTCCACCCCGCAGCTGAGTACTGAAAAGCTCGAGCTGATCATTAGAAAGTCATTTTTTCGACGCCGTCCGCCAGATATCTTCAAGTGCGGTCTGGGCTCTTCGTGCCTACTTCTTGGGGAGCTACAAAGAGTAGTGCAGATATTAGGCGACTCACATACGCGTTTTGCACAACCTCAGGAGCCTTAGCGCCAGGCAGAAGCGGCACCATGAGCACCATGAGCACCATGAGCACCATGAGCAAGCTCGAAAAATTCCGCCCGCCATCGCTCCAATTACCCGATGACCTCGATTCCTCCGCCGCTTCGCTCTCTCGCTCCAAGAATCCCCACCCTCTTCTACCAGCTCAACCGGACCTCGCCCTCACGAAGGTTCGATCACCTGCCACGGCAGCCGCGCGCAATCCCAAGCGCATCGTGCTGCAGCGATGCCACGTATGCAACCTGTTATCCATCCCGCCCTGTCGCACGTGCCACCTCTTCCTCCCCAACGCGTTTCCTCCCCAAACCGCCGCTTCCGCCCACCCATCGTCTTCGCAACTCGTCTCGTCACGCCCCTCACATCTGGATCAAGGTAGTAGCAACAGCAGCGACATCGTCGATCTCGCTACGTGGCTGGATATCCGCAACTTGCCGTGTCGCATGATGGAACTCGCCATGACTGGCTACTCGTCCAGCTCTCAGCCTTCCCATTCCATTGAAGGCAATCATTTCTTCGAGCCGCGAGGGCATCCGAGCGGCAAGTGCGCCGAAAATTCGCTTCTCGGGGAAGGAAGCAGGGACTATGAGGCAGCGGCGCATGGGGAGTGTCGCAAGCCGGGCGGGAGCGGAGCCAAGAGCGCGCCGAGCGGGTGGACGGCTGCGCGCGCCGCCGCTGCGGGAAGCGCGTGGGAGCTTCATTCTTTGTGGGAGTGGGCGGGACAGATGCTGACGTGGACGCCGCAGGTCGAGCAGTCGCAGCAATCGCAGCAGCTGTCGTATACACGCTCTCTGCGACATACTGTCACGGCGCCCGCGCGGCTCACGAATGAGACACCTCACCCTAGCGACGGCGAAGCTGCGACGGTGCAGGCGAGCGGAGGAGGCGCAGTCACGTCATCCAAATGCGCGGCAGGCAAATTAACGGTTGGATCTGAGAACGCGATGCGAAGGGACGACGGGGAAGCGACAAGCCCCATAGTCTTGTGGCTAGAAGAAGCAAGAAATTTGTTTCTTGGAGAGGGTGATCCGTGGAGGAAGTTACCCCGAAATGGGTGGGGAAATATCCATGGAAGCAGCATAGCACACAGTGCAGCTGGATGCGGTGCAACGCGGTGCAGGACAGGTGTTCCATTGAATGGTTTAGCAGCACATGTGTAGTGATCCCTGGTGCTGGGGGGAGGTGTTTGAGAACTTGGGTCAAGATGGATGGAAATGAGGGGATGGATGTGCACAGGTGGAGGAAGAATGCACCCACCGCATATCTTTCTTTGTGTGGGAGTGCAAGCTGACACCTATATTCGCATTACACATACATACGCATGCATGTGCAAATGCATGGTTAGAATAGAACTATTGCGCAAACAATGGAGCTGAACAAGGCAGCTCAATCTGCAAGCGTAGGTGAAACGTTGCACGTGTTCACCACATTCTTGTTTATAGGCTATGGAGGCAAAGTTTTGTGCCAATCACATTCATGTATCCGCTATTGTCTAATACTGAAGCCCAGTTTTGTGCATATTTATTGTGGATTGGTTTTAAACACTTGAAATGTTTGGGAAATAGTTAGCAGATTTAGTTCAGGTCTACACCTCATTTTACTGTACGTGCATCCCTCACCCACTGTCAGTCTGCTTTTGTTTTGTCAGATCTGTCAACCCTCACCTCGCCGAAATGGGTTTGGCCTCGCCTTACCCCACCTCGCCTCACCCAATTCCCCCAATCATTTTCAAATTCAGGTCTGCTCAAGCTGGTGGAGCCTCCCAAGCCCTTGGCTGGTTTTTTCTGATTCAGTAGGAGAATCCAGTTTTCCTGATTCAGGCAGGATTCGGGCTTCCCTTACTCCGTCGTCGTTTCTCACAGATCTCGCTCTTGATTCGCCCGGTTTGACGTCGAAGGAGCCGCCATGGCGTTAGCTTTCGATGAGTTCGGAAGGCCGTTTATTATCATACGCGAGCAGGAGACCAAGTCGCGCGTGAAGGGTCTCGCGGCGCAGAAGGCGAACATCCTCGCCGCCAAATCCGTCGCGAAGATTCTCCGCAGCTCGCTCGGGCCTAAGGGAATGGATAAGATGCTGCAGAGCGGCGACGGCGACGTCACTATAAGTACGCAGATGCACTATTTCACGCAGACGCTTTCTTATCCAAGCAGATGCGATAGAGCTTCCAGCATACGCCAAATCAAATTGGATCTGCGTCTGGAAGCTGATCGGCGCTCCGTGAGCCTTCTAGTGGCTCAGATTTTCTTAGTTCTTCTTGAAAGTCATCAATCTCCCTTGTAGCAGTCAAGGAGGCGGCGATCCTGCGACAGAGGAAGGTAGATAACTGCGACGGTGGACCTTTTCAGATTCCAAGTCTTTCCGATCAATTCCCTATTCCTCAAAGTCCCCCCATTCCTCCCAATGTCTGATCCCTCCCACGATTGGTATCAAACGACGTCGCGGCGGCGATCTGGAGCAGATTGAGGCAGAGGACCAACGTGCATCCGCTGGTGGTTCATACGCGTCGAAACCCGATTATTTCTCAACCGCGAGTATTTCTTTTGCCCTGATCCGTTTCCAATTTCTCACCCTCCCTTGCCTTCTGTATCGTCCAGCGAAAGACGGCGTGATGATTTTGGAGCAGATGGAATTGGATGCGCGTCGAAACCCGATTTGTCTATAATGCCCTGCTCCCTGCCAAACCCCATTACCCGATCCCTCTCCCCCTCCCTCCCCCAACGGCTCTCCTTCGTGTCTAGCGAACGACTGCGCGACAATCTTGGAGCAGATGGAGTTGAAGAACCGCGTGGGGCGGCAGATGGTGTATCTGTCGCATCGAGACCTGTTCCGTTGCCTCTTGCCGTTCGCTTCCCAATCCCAGTTATTCAATTTCTGTTCCCCAACTACACACCCACCTCTTTTCCCCTCCACGTCCTCCTTGCACAGCGAACGACGGCGCGACGATTCTGGAGCAGATGGAGGTGGAGAACCGCGTGGGGCGGCTGATGGTGGATCTGTCCAAGAGCCAGGACTTCGAGATCGGCGACGGCACCACGGGCGTCGTCGTCACGGCCGGCGCGCTTCTAGAGCAGGTGCGTGTGTGCGTGCTTGTGCGTGATTCATCCCATCCGCGTGGCGGAGGGCTACGAGATGGCGTCCAGAATCGCGACGGCGCATGCTCTTACCCTCCTTGCCCGCTCACCCAATTCCTCAACCCCTCCCCTCTATCCTTCACAGGCGGAAGCTCTTCTCGACCGCGGCATTCACCCGATCCGCGTGGCGGAGGGCTACGAGATGGCGTCCAAGATCGCGGCGGCGCATCTGGATGCGATCGCGGAGACGTTTGAATTCTCCAAGGATAACTTCGAGCCGCTCGTTGAGACGTGCATGACCACGCTCTCCTCCAAGATGTGAGTCGGCTGTTTGGATTTTGGATGTAAGCGTGATTGTCACAGGGCGTGCGATCATAGCCGTGCGGATAACTTTGAGCCGCTCGTCAAGACGTGCATGACCACGCTCTCCTCCAACATGTGAGTCGGCTGCTACCAGATGTGAAAGTTGACGCTCGGTGTGCGTGTAGCGAGTGCTTGACCAGGCTTATTAGCACAACAATACGGTGGCCCCTTCGTCTCCTCTCACCTGTAAATTCCCCCCTCCGGATTATCGCGTTTCGCACCAGTGTGGGGTGCTGCAAGAGACAGATGGCGGGGATTGCAGTGCAGGCGGTGCTGGCAGTGGCGGATTCGGAGTCTCATCTTCACCCTCACCTCTTCATCTGCCCTCACCCTTCGCTTCCCTTCCCCCAAACCAGTGTCGGGCGTTGCAAGAGGCAGATGGCGGAGATCGCAGTGCAGGCAGTGCTAGCCGTTGCAGACCTAGAGCGCCGCGACGTGAACCTGGAACTGATCAAGGTGGAGGGCAAGACGGGCGGCCGGCTGGAGGAGACGGAGCTGGTGCGAGGGATCATAGTGGACAAGGACTTCAGCCACCCACAGATGCCCAAGCGGATTGAGGACGCCAAGATTGCGATTCTGACGTGCCCGTTTGAGCCGCCCAAGCCCAAGACGAAGCATAAGGTTGATATCGATACGGTGGAGAAGTACGAGCGGCTGCAGGAGTCGGAGCGGAAGTACTTTGATGACATGGTGCAGCAGTGCAAGGTGCGGATCAGGGTTCAGGGTTTATGGGGTTGGGGGTTTGGGAGTTGGGGGAGTGCTGGTATTTTTACAATCCCAAGACGAAGCACGTGGTGGACATTGACACGGTGGAGAAATACGAGCGGCTGCAGGAGTCGGAGCAGAAATACTTTGATGATATGGTGCAGCAGTGCAAGGTGAGGGTCTGGTGGGGGCGGGTTTTGGGGGAGGGGGGCGGGGGCTTCAGTAAGGGGCATCAAGGATCACATCGGTTTTTGGCTTTCGGAGTTCGAGTTTCTGGTGTAGTGGGGGGAAGGAAGAGGGGGGGGGGGGGGGGGGGGGGGGGGGGGGGGGGGGTTTGGTGGAGGATGGGGACGCTGGGGCCATCAACTTCTCTTAAAGCCCAGTGCGAAGGGCAAGGCGAAGCACAAAGCAGCATGCCACGCTGGTGATCTGCCAGTGGGGCTTTGACGACAAGGCCAACCACTTGCTATCATGTTCTCACACACCCTCCCTCCCCTCTCCCCCCATCCCTTCTCCCCCCCCCCCTTCTCTGCTCTCCCCTCTCCTGCTTTTTCCTCACTCTCTCTCTCTCTCTCTTGGCTTACCGCGTCCTCACAGGACGCGGGTGCGACACTCGTGATCTGCCAGTGGGGGTTTGACGACGAGGCCAACCATCTGCTCATGCACCGCGGCCTGCCCGCTGTGCGCTGGGTGGGGGGCGTGGAGCTGGAGCTCATTGCCATCGCCACTGGTGAGCTGCATGAGTGCTCGCCCTACCATCACACCACACGGCTGTCTACTGTGCGCGCACCGACAACCATCTGCTTATGCACCGCGGCCTGCCCGCTGTGCGCTGGGTCAGGGGCGTGGAACTGGAGCTCATTGCTATTGCCACCGGTGAGCTGTTGTTTGGAGCTATTGTGGGAGGTAGGCTGCATCTCGCACCTACCAGCACAGCGCAGCGCTGCCTACCATGTGCCCACAACCACCTGCTCATACACCACGGTCTCCCAGCTGTGCACTGGATGGGGGCCGTGCATCTCGAGCTCATTGCCATCGCCACTGGTGAGCTGTGATCGTGGGCACCGGGGCTTGCGTGATTGAAGAAGTGTTTTGAGACGTCTCAAAACACTTCTTCAACCACTGGCGAGCTGTGATCGTGGGCACCGGGGCTTGAGGTCGTTTTTGAGGCGCCTCAAAAACGACCTCACTGGTGAGCTGTGATTGTGGGCACCGGGGCTTGCCCGCTGTGCGCTGGGTAGGGGGCGTGGAGCTGGAGCTCATCGCCATCGCAACTGGTGAGCTGTCTTGTGTGAGGCTCATCTGGCTGCTGCCCATTCATGCACCGTGTCAGCACCTCTGTCTTGTGGACCCCCCTCCCTCCTCCCCCCTCACTTTCGTGCCCCCCTTCTCTCCTAATGTCCGCCCCTCTCCCCCTCCCTCCTTATTCTTGCCACTCTCGCCCCCCTACCCCTGCTTCCCCCCTCCCCTCTTCCCCCCTCGTGCCTCCTCGTGCCATCCCCTTCATGCCCTTTTTATTCTCTTATTTCCGCCCTTTCTCCCCATTCTCTTCTTTCCCTCGCCACTCTCCCCTCTCCCATCTTCCCCCCTCGTGCCCTGCCATCCCCTTTGTGCAGGCGGCCGCATCGTGCCTCGTTTCCAAGAGCTGACACCCGAGAAGCTGGGCAAGGTGAGGTGTGGGGAGGAAGGGGGAGGATGGAGGTTTAGGGTGGGGGGAGGGGAACTGGGGTTGGGGGACGAGATGGAGGAGCATGGGGATAAGGTGGGGGAGAGGGCAGAATGGGAATTGCGGATGGAGTGTGGCTTGCTTGCTGGTTGTCCTGTCACTGGGCGTGGCGTCAGGGTGTCAGTGTTTAGGTTACTGAAATAGGGCTATTCACCTGTTGTTCCCACCCGCCCGTTGTTCCCACCCGCCCTTTACTCCCACCTGCCCTTTTCTCTTGCCCTTTTTTTGCCCCCACCTCCTCCTTTGCTCCCATCCCCCACGTTTGTTCCCGGCCCCCTTGTCTCCCACTCGCCCTACTCCACGCTCTCTCTGCCTCTCTGCATGCTTCCGCTCTCTGTTGTGCTCCCTTCCACGCAGGTGTGGTGCGGGAGAAGTCGTTCGGCACCACCAAGGATCGCATGCTCTACATCGAGGGGTGCGCCAACCCATGCTGCCTACCCGCACCGCTCATTGCGTGCTCCCTCCTTTCCTTCTTACCCTTTTATTGCAGGCTGGAGTGGTGCGGGAAAAGTCGTGTGGAACCACCAAGGATCGCATGCTCTACATTGACGGGTGCGCCAACCCATGCTGCTCCTTCTTCTCTCCTTCCTGCCTCAACTTCCCCCTTCCTTTCAGGCCGGAGTGGTCCGGGAGAAGGCATTCGGAACCACCAAAGACCGCATGCTCTACATCGAGGGGTGCGCCAACTCACGCGCCGTCACCATCTTCATCCGAGGAGGTACGCAGAGCGGTGGAGGTGGATCCAGAGAGATGGTGGGGCATGCAGAGCGGTGCTGGGGCATGCAGTGCAGAGTGGTGGTTGGGCATCGAGAGCGATGGGTGGGCATGCAGAGCAGTGGGGGGCTATGCAGGGCGGTGCTCGGGTGTGCAGAGAGATGATGTGGGTACTTGTTGGAGGGTTAGTGTGATATTTGGGGTTGGTTTCTCCACCGTCCTCCACTCCTCCCCACCCACACACACTGTCATATACACTAGCAGCAAGACTCGTCGCCCTTACCCCCCTCCCCTCCCATCGCACGCTTTTTCTTTTCCTCCCATCGCACGCTTTTTCTTTTCCTCCCATCGCACGCTTTTTCTTTTCCTCCCATTGCACGCCTTTTCTTGTCCTCCCATCCCTCTGACGTTTTTTCATTACACCGGACCCCTTCTTTCCTCACAAAATGGTTTCGAGTTCTCCTCTCTCTCCACCTTCTCCCACTCCCCACTTCTCCCCCCGCTCACCACATGGCAGGCAGCAAGGTGATGGTGGAGGAGACCAAGCGCAGCCTGCACGACGCGGTGTGTGTGATGCCCCTGTCGCAGTGGTTGACACTTGTAACCCCCTTTCGTTCTCTGTCTCCCATCTCTCCTCCTCGTCACCCACTTCTTCTCTTGGCAGGCAGCAAGGTGATGGCGGAGGAGACCAAGCGCAGCCTGCACGACGCGGTGTGTGTGTGACTAGGTACTTCCTGGCACCTTCTTTCTTACTCTGCCCCTCAATCCCTCTCCACCACATCGCACCGCACAACACCCTGCAGGCAGCAAGATGATGGTGGAGGAGACCAAGCGCAGCCTGCACGACGCGCTGTGTGTGGCACGCAACCTCATCCGAGACAACCACATTGTGTACGGTGGAGGCTCTGCTGAGATCACATGCTCGTTGGCAGTCGAAGCTGCGGCGGATAAGGTCCCAGGAGTGGAGCAGGTGAGGCGCACCTGACACCTTCGCTTGTGAATCCCTATGTGTGGCGCTCAGAATCATCCGAGACAACCACATTGTGTACAGCTGAGGGTCTGCTGAGGTCACATGCTCGCTGGCAGTCGAGGCAGCAGCAGACAAGGTCCAGAGGGTAGAGCAGGAGGGGCACAGGCGTAATAAGTGTGAGTCTCTTCCCTGCGCTCGTCTGCTCTCTCCCTGTCCCCGCGTGACCCCCTCCCCAAACTCCTGTCTCTTCCCCTCCCCAAGCCGGTACGCCATGAGGCCTTTTGCAGAGGCACTGGAAGCAGTGCCTTTTGCAGTGCTAACCCCCCCTCGCTTTCTCATCCCCTGTGCCCCTGCCCCCCTCTGCCCCTGTGCGCTTCCAATCCCCACTCCCCCCCACCAGTACGCCATGAGGGCATTCGCAGAGACACTGGAGGCAGTGCCCGTGGCAGCTCTCCCTCCCTCGCTTGCTGATCACCCTCTCTCCCATTGTCCCCCTGCCCACCCCCCCCTCACACCCGCTTTTCCTCTCCTTCACCCCACCAGTACGCCATGAGGGCGTTTGCGGAGGCACTGGAGGCGGTGCCAATGGCTCTGGCGGAGAACAGTGGCCTGCCGCCCATCGACACGGTGTCCAGCATCAAGGCACAGCAGGTCAAGGTGAGATGAACGGGCCCTCTCTGCCACCCCCCTATCTGCCTGGTGTTCTATGAGTTGTCTTTTCTTTTTTAACAGCGGCCTGCCGCCCATTGATATGGTGTCCTGTCCAGCACCAAGGCACAGCAGGTCAAAGTGAGATCCGTGGAATCTTCGTTTTTTCTTGTGAGTTGGACTCGAGATAACAGTGGCATGCCAGCCACCCATCGACACGATGTCGAGCAACAACGCACAGCAGGTCAACTGTGCCGCCCATGGCGATTGTGTCAACACAGGCTTTTTGCTCATCCATCAACGTGTCCCTACTCCCCCATGGCTTACAGGAGAACGATAGTGGCTTGCTGGCCATTGATACTATGTCGACACGGGGCTTTATACTCAATTCATTTCTGTGTCCCCACTCCCGCATGGCCTTGCAGGAGAACTGTCCATACCTGGGAGTGGATTGCATGGATGCGGGAACGAATGACATGCGCAAGCAGAAGGTATTTGAGACATTGATCGGCAAGAAGCAACAGCTGCTGCTGGCCACACAGGTCGTGAAGATGATTCTCAAGATAGATGATGTTATCTCGCCATCTCAATATGAGTGATTCCTCACTACCTTTACTACCTAGATTGAATGTTTTGAATGAACATCTTAGTTTGAGAAGATTTGTGTATCCTGACATGTAGCATCCCCGCTAACTACAAATCGTGCACCCGGTCGAAGCAGGTGGTGTACGCGTGTCGCGCAACACAGTTATTTGAAATGAGCCGTTTTGGCGGCAGTTTTTTTCTGCGTCGGTTTACATTCTGCCTGACTTTTGTCGGCTCTACCCGTCCAGCTCCATGCGGTCTGCTTTGTTTCTTCTCCAGTCATCAGCCTCCACGTTGGCCCCTATCCCTTTCTCCTCTGGTTTTGAATGGTGGATGAACTTGACCAGAACTAAATTTGCAGAGCACGCCTGACAGGATCATTCTCGCACATGGACTTGAGCTGGCTTGCATGATGTCAACCAATTAAACTGCAGAACTGTACTACCGACGAGGGAGGTTGCTGTTTCCCGTCAGTCGCAGCAAGATGGTCATTGCTCGAAAGAAAATGAGGCACCTCGCCTTGGCTGCTGCTGTTTCGTCTGCTTCAGGTCTGCGACTGGCAGTCTGCGACATTTGCAGCTGAGCGGGTGACGTCGTTGGATCTTTGCTGGGCTGGTTGGCTGCTGAGTCAGGAAGCCATACCGTCGCCCTGGTCGCACGGCAATACACCTCACCCACGGGAAGAATCGTTTGCCCGAAAGTCTGCCTCGAAGCCGCACGCGGAAACGTGGGCTCGGAGGGATTGGTGCGAGCGACGAGGCGCGACATCCTCCTCCCCAACTTCTGCAAACAGTACGCCGAGCGACGTCGCAACAGCTGCTGTTCGACGTCGCCGAACGTCGTAGGAAGGTGGGAAGAAGAGTCGGTGGGGAGTCGAACCACTTCCCGCGCACAATTCGGTTGCTCGCTTGACGACAAGATTCATCGCTTCGTCTCGCATCCATCGCTTCCCCTCTCGCTTGGTGTTCAAGCGACGGGTACGTGAAAAGGACGACCAAGGTGCGACTCAACTCATCCCAGCAGCATTTTATTCAGATTATCGCAGCGGTTCCTTGCTAATCGCACCTAGCCCCTCAGTCAGCTCAGGACCATTTCCCGCTCTGCGTCAAATTTGCATTAGGCGCTAATTTCACGTCAAGCTTCGGGCCATCTCTCCACTCCATCTCTCTCGAACTTCACAGTTTTCCGGGTTCCTTTTCAAATGGAGCGCCGATTGGACTCCACACCGTCTCTCCGGTGGGCGGACCCCATGTTCTCTGCTCCTGCCTCCCCCGCTACACCATCAACGAAAGAAGCCGGCGCGCAGAAGAGATCGCCGACTCGCGACCTCCCTGGCTCACCCTGCGCTTCCCGCGCTCGGCGCGCTGCTTCTTCCCCAATGCGCCATGCCAAACGCGCGCAAGAGAGCACCGCCAACGCTAGCGCCAAGCGCGTTCCTACTCTCCGCGTTATTCGCCACAACTCCCTCCCCGCGCCAAATGTTATTGATCTCCCAGCCGCCCTCGAGCTCCCCGCGCCCGCCATCCCGACGTTTTCCACCCCTTCCCCGCACCATGCGCCGTCATTCGAGTCGCAGCGACCGCGTCAAGTGCGGCGATATTCGTTCAGCCGATGTGCGACGCCGAGCGACGCAGCTTTAGACTCGCTTGACTCGTTCCTCCTCCCCCCTCCCGCTCTCCCGCTATCCGCCGTCGCTCTGGCTTCAACGCCCCCTTCCGCCTGCCGCGCAGCTCTCGTCGCAACGAGGACATACGGGGAGGAAAGGGAGCAAACCGGCGCTTGCGTGAAGGACACGCCAACCTTTCCGCGCCGATCGTTGTTCGACCTGGGGACCAATCAGCGAACGACACATAGCCCTCGGAAAGGCGACCCGATGTTCGAGCTCCGCCAACGAAGCAGCTGCCTCTCCCCTACTGCGCGGGCTACGGGAAATCTCAATCTCGCCGCGTGCAGCACGGTAAGCAGCGGGTTTCCTGTTGCGACGTGGCAGCTTCCTCGGCGCGCGAATGGTCCTCGAATTGGATCTCCTATTCGCGCCCCCCGTCGTATGGTTCTGCTTAGCTCCGCTACCTGAGTAATGTGCGTAGGGAACGCTAACAGGTTGTGTTGACCAACACTGATACTGGTAGCTAGCTACGTCAGGTTTTCTTATTTGCTTGACATGCGTTGAGCGCATGGTGATTGTGTTCACCATAGTATATAGATAGGATGGGTGGTCGTTCTAGGAGTGTCTGTATCATCAGGAAAGCAACCCTGGATGATACATAGCACACTCACGCTTACGCTACTCTAGTGCTGAGCACCGATGAGGAGGACACGAATTTGCGTAGGGCTGTGAATGTTTATGCATATCGCTAAATAGCGCTTTCCCTTGTAACGCTTGATGTTCGATGAGCAACACGTCTATGTACAATGACGAATTAAACCATAACGCGAAGGTACATGGCTCGTTGTTTGGTCGGCTGGACTGACAGCGATGGGGAAACCACTCGTGTAATTTGGGGCTCGTGTCAGACAGACCTCAGGTGAGCACGAGTGACACGATTGGACGCACCCGAAGTTGAGCTTCAAAGAACCCAAGTGGAGGCTCTGCACCTCGCGTTGAGCTTCTCGAGACTCGTCTCGATCTGACTGCCCACCCAGCAACAATTGCGACTGCATTGTAGCTTCATTATCAAGGCCTTACCTTATACGAAGAGAATGAATTTGGAAGAACTACATTTTAGCTGCGGCAACAACTGCAAGTCCCTAAAATATCTGATTTCAAAATCTGCAGAGTCTCAGAATTGAATGTCATTTGCCGCGCGCATGATTCGCTTGCCGTTGCCGGTTTCCCCGCAACCGTGCCTCACATCAGAAACTGCTGTGGTCGGCGCAATTCTTCCCTTCCCCTCCCCGTTTCCCTTCCCTTCACCGTTTCCCCCATCCCAACTGTCCCACCATCTCCCCCAACCCATGACCGTGCTGCCCTCTCTACCCCTCCCCCCAAACCACCTTTTCCTCGGTCTCCCTCCTCTCCCCATGCCGCACCGACTAGTTCCCAGCTGGAATTTCCCCCCTCTCCCAGATTCCCCACCTTCCCCACCTTGCCTGCCAGCCAGCCCAGCTGCCCTCCCCTTACCGACCCAATCTCCCCTTTTTCCGCCAGTGTTCCCGCCCCCCTCTCCTCAGTGCATCTCAAAAGTAAAGGTTTCGCCATTCGCTTGCAATTTCGAATCTTATCCTCTGAGATCTAAAACCCTATTTTCGATTTCCGCTCTAAATCCAGCTGTCGTCTCTCTGTCGATTGGAAGCTAACCAACCGCCATGTCTGATTATATTCTTGCGCCAAAAGCACAGCTTGGATGTGTCGTCGGTCTGCGGCACGCGTTTTTGGAAACAGTCATCCTGTGACCTTCGAGGAAAGTCGGTGCTTTTCTTGACGTCCAATCAGAAAGGCGGAAATAGCAGAACATGCAGCTTTATGGGTGACAACAGGGTGCGAAGGCCGCTCCCCCATTGGCTGGTGCCGTCGATCGGCATTTAATTCCGAAATGCCGATCTCCTTTTAAGGCGGCGTCATCGACTTAGAAATAGATGTCAGGCAGACGATTACGATTTCAGCCCACGTGCTTGCTCGCCCACGCGAACTGCATTCGTGAAGGTGGACGGGATGCGCGTCCTGAATGTGCATCCTTTCTTATTGTCCAAGCAGCTCGCTGCCTTGCGCGTCGCGGCGAGTTCACCGTACGAATGGCTGGTGATTTCGGCAAGAAATCGAGGGAAATGCATTGGTCCTGTGGGTTCAGAATGCAATCGCGTCGCGCGGTTCCCTCTCATTCCTCCCCTGTATTCAAAGCAATCCGTTTCATTTGCCTCTCTAAATTCGTCTACCGCAAAAATGCGCTCAGCCCAGAATGCACCATCCTTACCTCGTCCTGGTTACTTGTTAGCGCTTTTTATCAAGCAGAGATTGTCAGTCCGCCAACGTCGCAACAACTCGGCCCTTACCCGTACCGCTTCTATTCGCTCCAAATGCCACGTGCAGTTTGACGCACGTGCCCCTACGAGGTAACGCTGCTGTGCCACGTGGCCTCCTCTTTACCTCCCATCTGCTACTCCTCTCCGTACGCCGGGTTGAGCGTGAGTCCCGCCGTGCTTTACGCTCGAGCATTTTCGAGGCGTCAAATCAGCGGCATTTCCCGGCTCCCGCAAATCATGGGCGCCCAGAACCTCCCTGATGATGATTTTCTTCACCCACTCATCGCTAACCCTCCGCTTTTCGGCCCCCCGGCGGATGGAGTCCCCGCGCGCGGCGGTCTGCGCGGGCGTCACGGCGAAGTGTGCGGAACCCTTGGCGCATTCCTATCCACCAGAGCGGACCACGTGGACCTGGAGAAGCGCGTCGGGGGGGAGTTTGCGCCTATGCGCGCAGCCGTACCGCAGCACGAGCTGTTCATCCGCGGCGCGGCCCCGTCAAGCTCTGCGCGGCATGGGCAAGTTGGAGACGCGGAGCGCTTCCAAGCCGGCGTACGCGGAACCGCGGGCTGTCCCAGCGCGTTCGCCGCGACCTTCCCCCCCGAGCGGCGGTGGCGGGAGGCGCGGAAGCGACCGCTGGAGTCAGAATGGGCGGAAAACCCGCGCAGGGGCTATATGCATGCGCCTATCAGTCCGCACGGCGCGACCGAGGCGCCTGAAATGGGCCGTCAGCGCGGCGCGTTGCTGAGGTGGGCTGCTTCCGCGAGCTCGGCGGATCTAGGAAGCGGGGGGAGCTCGGCGGAGCCAGGAGTTGCGCGGAGGCGAAACGGATGTTTGCTGGCGGAAGGGGAAGGAACAAGTGTGTGTGATGAGGTATGGGGAGGAAGCGGCGTAAGCGCGGCGCATGGGGGAAGCTGGAGAAGGGCGGAGAGCGGGGGAAGGGGGGGAAGGGCGGGAAGTTGGCCGCATTTTTCTCCAGAAAACGGGCCGCATGGCGCGGGTGGGGGGAGGAGCTCTGTAACCACGTCCACGTGGCACGACTGGATTGGCTTGCAAGGCTGGCAGGAGCAGCAGCAGCAGCAGCAGCAGCAACGGGGTGTGCAAACGAGTGCGGAGGAGGGTATTCCCCAACAGCGGTATCTTGAAACCCCTCACACGGCAAGCACTGCACGCACCCCTCTTGTGCACTCCCCTGCTCTCCCTCCCCCTGCTGCATCCCCCCCAGTTGTACCCCCCCCTCCTGCCATTTTGCACCCTGGCTTTCTTTCAGAGGCCCCAGTACCACACACACTCTCATCACCAGCCGCTATGCTCGCCCCTGCAGCCGCTGCTCCTAGCTTGCAGACAGGCACCCCTCTAAACTCCCCAGCACACCTTACATTCCCGGTGCATGCTGCTGAATTGCCATCTGCCCCGGATGCAGTCACATCTGTTAGAAGAAACCCGGGCCCACCCAGCGAAGCAGCACTTTTTGGTGCACCTCAGAAGCAGGAATGCTCGAGTGACCATGCGACTGTCTCAGTTGACCTTTCCCTTCGTCTCGGGTTGAACCCTCAGCATCGCGAGCACGAATCTGCTGGGGGGGATGCAGAAGAAAGAGCAGCTGGAGCAGAAGAGAGAAGGGGGGTATCGGCAGGAGAGGCAGAGTGCGTGCCAGACGAGGGGGGTCGTGGCCGGTTTGGAGGGGTTGTGGAGCCTGAGAAGACACTTCAGGCGGCATGTGGTATGAGTGAGGGGTATACATTGGTGCAGGATAGCATATGGGAGTGCGAGCCTGCTGCTGCTGCTGCTGATGCTGCTACTGCTCCTTCTGCTGAAGCTACTGCTGCTGGTGCTGCTACTGCTGCTGGTGCTGCTGCTGGCACAGGAGAGTTACTGTCCTGGGTTGAGAGCAAGGGCGGGAGTGTGTATGAGTGCCATGCACTGCTGTACCAAGTCAACCTGAATCGCCTCATGAGGGGCGAGGGGCAAGGGAGAGGCGAAGGGAGAGGCGAGCAGGAGAGGGCCGAAGAGTTCCAATGGGAGTGAAGGGTGTGAGTCCGCTGATGGTGCTCTTGCTGTGAGAAGGGGAATGGAACGGCTGAAGAGTCTGCCGGTATTGCTCTTGCTGCTGCTGGTACTGCTCTTACTGCTGCTGGTACTGCTCTTGCTGCTGCTGGTGCAGCAACGGAGGAGAAGGGGGGTCTGAGGCTGCAAGGGGTATGTGACCGGCCAGCTCATTTCAGTTGGAATAAAGCAGCCCTGCAGTCGTGGTTTGGGTCAGCTCAAAACACGATTCATTTCACGGAAAAGGGGGGTGTGAGGTGCAAGGGTATGGTGCGTGATCAGCTCATCTCAGTTGGAATTAAGCAGCCCTGCAAGGGGCTTCCTATGGGTGGCGTGTAGGCATGTGCTGTAATCTGCCTGCTGTCCTATGCCCTCCCTGCATGTAACTGCCCACGTGTACATACCTAGTTTGTCTCTGCATGTATATATAACTAGTAGTTCTCTATACCATATTGAGAAACAGATTCAATGAATGGGTTGGGGATGTATACAGGCGGTTTCTGAGTGAACTGGAAATATTCACCATACATTTTGGACGGGATAACCCTTGGAGATGCGTTCTGCACTGAGGCGTGTAAAGGATTTCTCAGCCAAGCAAGAGGTGCAGGTAAGCAACAGGTGCCTTGACTGCCAACAGGACATGCCCGGACTGACAAGCATGCTTCTCTCACAGGCATTACACACATGTGAGCAATGTGGTGGCCTGGGGAGGAATGTTTAGCCGGGCGGGGGGGTAGTGTAACATGGGCCAGTGGAACAAGTCACAAGTAAGCAGGTGCCTTTATTGCCAACAGGACAAGAACAACCAGAGAGTCCCAGCAGGGGGCATGCACCTTCACTCTGTCACTCTCCCGCTCAAGTCACTTCCCCGTTTCGTTCCTCCACAAGGCTCGCTCCCTCCCATCACCCGCTACTTATTCAAAGACTACCCTCTAGACGCCCCTCTCGCCCAGCTGATTAACTTCCCTCATGCAAGGCGGCATGTGCTCACGTGGTCACGCATTTGCCCTCCCTCTCTCCACCCACTACTTATTCAGAGACACATACTAGGCGCCCCTCTCTAGCACGGGTTCCAAGGATACAGCAGAAACGGCAAAGTCCGCCTGAACTGCCCCCTGATCGCCCCCAGCGGCCGCGTCACAGAGCTCACCACCGCATAGTACCGCCTCGGATCGTCCGCCATCGCCCTCACAATAGAATACACAGAACTAGTAGACCCAGGGGGGTACTTCTTATTAGCCTCATAGTACCACTTCTGCAGGGTGTATACGTCGTTGCTGTTGTCTCGCGACCACTGCCCTGACACCACCCACACGGGCGGGCCGTTGCTGCCTGAGTAGGCCTTGTTGACGGTCTGGGCGATGGGGGAGGAGGAGAGAGCATGCGCTCGCAAGCGAATGTTCACATTCGTTTGTCCGTTGTACCTTTTGGTGGGGGGTGGGAGAAGAACAGAATTGGATGAGAGGAGGGGGCGGGCAGGAGAGAAGGGGGAGAAAGGGGGTGTGGGAGGAGAGAAGGGGGTGAAAGGAGGTGTGGGCGGAGATTAGGGAATGAGAGGCTTGTATTGTTAATGCCACCTACACGGGCAGCCCGTTGCTGCCTGAATGGGCCTTGTTGACGGTTTGGGCGATGGGGGAGGAGGAGAGGGCGTGCGCTCGCAGGCGAATGTTCACATTGGTCTGCCCGTTGTACCTTTCATGGGGAGCGGGGGATGGGAGATGGAGAGAAAACACCGAGGAGTCGGGCATGCGTTATTCGAGTCGATCAACGCATGCCCGAGGAGATATGGAGTGACGATGGGGGGAGGGGGGGGAGGGGGGGTTGGGGGGGAAATGTGGAGGAAGTTTTGAGGCGACGCACAAGTCGGAGCGGCAGAGAGGCATGGGATGACGTGCACCCGCTGGAAAGCGGATCCTCCGCGCTTCTCACCTGTACACTTGAATGAGTGCCACGCCGTCCGCACCGGGATCCCCTCCGAGGATTGACTGCACATTGCCTGCGTTCAGATATGCCACCAGCGCACCTGCCACACACGAGCACCGCGCAGAACCGCACAGCACAGACGCCACAGCTCGCCTGTTTCAAGATTAGACGCCACCAGAGAGGCGCGAGCTCGATATGCGTGTAACCTACTAACATCGAAGTAAGTATACACAAACAAAAACGGGGCGTAAAGCCCGTGCTTACACTTGAGAAAGCCGGGGAACGGGAGAATTCCGAGCTTCCTAGACGATGGGCGAGTCACGGTCGCAGCGGTCGTCGGGGACTCCAAAATACTACCTTTGAACGTGGCGTACTGAGTATTGAATCCAGGATCGGCGGCGCAAGTGCTGCGGACGACGATAGATGCGATGAGGAGAAGGGGAAGGACGCCTGTACGGGATGGGACGAATGGAGCGATTGTCACGAAGGAAAGTTGGCTTCTGAAAACCAGGCTGAATGAATGATCATTTGGAAAGAAAACCTCACCTGATGGGGACTGGACTCGCTTGGGGGCCATCGTCGCAATCGAGTTTTGTAACCAGGTCTACTTGGGGAAGCACTGAGATCGAGAGGACGAAACGATGTCGCGAAAGCTGTGTCAGCAGGAATTCCTCCTCGTGAACGTGATTTCGCATGCAGTAAATTGTTGGAACGCGTTTAGCGGCAATTGCGGGGGTGTTGTGGCTGAGGAACAGAGGAGGGGGATTTTATGTTGCCGAGTTTGACGTTCGCTTGCTGGGGATTCTGGGATCGAGTCGAGAATGTGTCGCGTCGCATTCAGCCAAGGCTTCGAATGCTGACATGAACGAAGATTCCGACAGCGTGAATGACGGCGCCTGGCTACAGTCACCGACTGGGCGGTCAACCGACCATTTTTTTCCATGCTGACGAGTTGCTGGCATTGGACGGACCAAATGTGATGCCACGTATACTGGGTCCGGAAGTTTTTGCGTCGAGTATGAAAACACTTCACTCCGAACTGTTCTTAACTATAAAATATAACAGATGTGACTGGCTCAATCATAAATTAGCATCTTGGTAGTTCTGCTATTCAATGGATAGACCCATTGAGACACCTCAGCTAGAATACAAATATCAAAAGGCTAATGAGAAAGAAACTACGTCCTGTTGCTTCTTGATGACAGCCTGACAATGATGCAATGCAGGCGAAACAACCATGTTCTGACCCTGCACAATCTCTACCCAATGCTGGTACATGGCAATTCCTTAACAGCGTGACCAAGAAAGGCTACTCATTATATACAGACTATGTGGCCACAAAATTAACAGCGTGACCAAGGAATCAGACTAAAAGGAACAGCTCGTCTAATCTGTCCCCGCAGTGCACCATTAGGGTAGGCTGCAGTTTTCACCAGCACATAGAAAGACCTCCTAAACCACGCCTTATCAATCTTCTTCACCATGGAATAAACCGATTTAGATGATCCGGCAGGCACAGCCTTCCGTGCGCCCATGTACCACACGGAAAGGTCCCACTCGCCGAGATCGTCTCGTGTCCAATCGCCATCAATGGTCCAAATCGGCCCACTGCTGCTGCCGATTTGACCCACGTGGATGGACTGCCCTGTGGGCGCGACGAGGGAAGGGCTCTCATAGTGAATGTGCACCTTCACGTTGGTCTTGCCACGATAGCTGTTAAAGGGATGGGGATGGGGTTGAAGAAGCGCGTGGGGATGAAGCACTTGAAGAAACACACTCATCATGCGCATTGCATGGAATCAGAATCACGTGCAAATAAACTCATTGAATGAGGACGCGTGGATGGCACTGTAGGGTTTGGGAGTGGAACTTGGGTTCTTACGTTGTGAGCGGCCCTCACCTGTAGACGAGGATGTCCAGCCGCGCGTCGGCTGCGCGCTCCCCTCCGCCAGGCGCCAGGTCCGCCTCGAGATTCGCCGAGAGCGCACCTGCACGCATCGGCGCGCAGCATCATGGAAGCGAGCGGCACTTGAGACACGTGTGGAAGTGGGTGGCACACATTGGCATACGCATGGACATGCAATCTGCGGGCATGGGCGCGCGCGTGGGCGCACACATGGCGCGAATTCTTACGCACACATGAGCTCACTCATCGGCGCAGACATGGTTCACCGTTTTCTATGGATAATTTTCAGATTATTATGCCTTTTGGAGTGTCTATCGCTGACTAAAATGGTTCCGGATAACGTAGCGCGCGCCGGAATTCTTCACTCCGTGGACAATCGAGCGGAGAAATCAGCGGAAACGGCAGGAGGGTGGGGACGAGATGGAGAAAAAAGACAGGCAGGAAAGCTGAAACGAGGGGGGAAGAAGAAAGAAAACGAAAGGAGGCAGAAGTGGAAACGAGCGGCGGGAAAATTAGGAGCTGAAGTAGCTAAACGGAAATGAAGTAGCAGGGGGAAGACGAGCACATTTCAGAAGGCCCGGGTACGGCAAGACGTAGGGTAGAATCCGAGCGTGAGTCTCGGTGGGTCCATCGGCGAGAAGCAGCAGCGCGAGCGACGCGACAACGAGGAGAGTAAACTGCGTGATACCGCCACGGAGGACGATGAGGACGGTCTTCATCGCATCAGGCACAAAAAAAGAGCGACTCGACCACAGATGCTAGGGGAGACCACGGTTGATACCTCCTTGGAATGGTTGAATATCACTTGCAAAATAGTTGCTCCTTTAATATTCTAGCGAATACAATCCGACCTTTGTGACGTCTCAAGGAAAACGCTCTTCCGTCTCGAAATTCTAAAGATAATTCGTGTGTGATTGCTAAATCTAAGGAACTGGTGAAAGGCAACAAGAAGAAGCAACAACGCGCGAAGTCGAAACGAGGGGAAGCAAAAACGCGCGAACTCGATCAAGAATTTGCATTTGAGCCACCAAGAAACAAATTTGATGAGTTCGTGCTTGCGAATAGGGCGGCAGGCTGCAACTTGTCGGAAGGAAGTGGGGGCGTCACTTCTGGTTCCGCCAATGGTCGCAAAGCCCTCACAAAGCCAGGCCGTGGGGGGGAAAGGGCTTACAAATGTTCATACAAGCGCTCACACCACGCCGTTCCCCAAAAGCTCCGCTTTCTCCCCGACGCTTCCATGTGGCGGAACCCTGAGCGGCTCGGTGCGGCTTTTCTGGAAGCTTGGTGTGACCGGAGCCGCTCTTGGGAACGACGGATGCAGTTGCGGGCTTGTTCTGATTGACGTGGCCTAGTTCTTGAAACAGAAGTATTCACTACATGAAATAACGCATTGTTACGTCCAATTGACCCTCCACCAGATCATACAAGCATGTATTGTGTATTAACCACAACCTTTGCATGTGTGTAACATATAGAAAACCCCTATGGCTGAAAGACTGTATAAGCGATCTGGACATTACTAATGGCAAATTCTTTTCCTGTCCTCAACAAGCTAATCCATCCTGTGCTTACATTCATATTCCCCAGCAAACTCCAACGCTGCATTGTAGATCGTGTATCTATACATCTTACTAGCACCCTTCCCACCATGCACTCCTACCCACTTTAAAACAACACCCCACAAGTACTTACCCAACCTTGCCAACCCACCATCTCCGCCCCCCACACCTCCAGCTTCCCACACCTCCACCTCTATCTCCATAACAGCACTGAAGCTCTCCCGCCCAGTCGCATCCCAATCCCCATCCCCCCTCGGCATCCACACCGCCCCGCTAAAAGAAGACGGAGCCGCCCGCACGCGCACCCGCAGGGCGGCGGTCGGTGTCCGGGCGGCGAGGACGAAGCGTCCGGAGCAGGAGTCGATGGTGGGGGGAGAGAAGGAGGTGAGGGGGTCGATGGATCGGAGGTTGAGGGAGTGGTGAGGGGTGCGGAGGCCGAACGAGAGGACGAGAGGCGAGGGGAGGGAGGCGAAACGGAAAAATGCTCCTGCTCCCACTAGCTGGTGGGGAAGATGGAAAAGCCGGAATCGGAGGAAACGGGAAGGAGAGGAGGGAGGCATGGGAAAGTCGACATGAGTGAAAGGAATAGAAGGAGGTGAGGGGGTCGATGGATCGGAGGTTGAGGGAGTGGTGTGGGGTGCGGAGGCCTAGAGAGAGGACGAGAGGCGAGGGGAGGGAGGCGAAACGGAAAAACACTCCTGCTCCCACTAGCTGGTGGGGAAGATAGAAAAGCCGGAATCGGAGGAAACGGGAAGGAGAGGAGGGAGGCATGGGAAAGTCGACATGAGTGAAAGGAATAGAAGGAGGTGAGGGGGTCGATGGATCGGAGGTTGAGGGAGTGGTGTGGGGTGCGGAGGCCTAGAGAGAGGACGAGAGGCGAGGGGAGGGAGGCGAAACGGAAAAACACTCCTGCTCCCACTAGCTGGTGGGGAAGATAGAAAAGCCGGAATCGGAGGAAACGGGAAGGAGAGGAGGGAGGCATGGGAAAGTCGACATGAGTGAAAGGAATAGAAGGAGGTGAGGGGGTCGATGGATCGGAGGTTGAGGGAGTGGTGTGGGGTGCGGAGGCCTAGAGAGAGGACGAGGGGAGAGGGGAGAGGGGAGGGAGGGGAGGGCGGCAAATCGGAAGAATGCTCCTGCTCCCTCTAGCTGGTGGGGAAGAAATTGGCCAAAATTGGGGAAGGGGTGCGCGGGGGAGGGAACGGGGATGGGGGGAGGGAGAGAGACGATTGTGGAAGATAATGTGAGAAAAGAGAATAGGACAAAGGAGAATGCACGAGGAGAGTGTGGGATAACTGGCGAAGGAGGTGCGGGGTTCAATGGATCGAAAGTCGGCGAAGAGGCACAAGAGGCACAAGAGGCACAAGAGGCACAAGAGGCACAAGAGGCACGGGATGCGGAGGCTGAGAAAGAGGACGAGGGGAGAGGGGAGGGACGCAAGGGGAGAAAACACAGGTAGATGGGTACGGTTTAGTTGCTTGAAATCCGAATTTCCAGATACAGGCAAGCCCAGGCAGGTACATACTCCGAATTTTGCATGCTCCTTCCATACAGTCATACACAACCAATCAACTTAGAAACACATACCAACTTGCCTTTGAAACACGTTTCTGTGGTGCATTTCATCTCTCTACAAGTACGGTTTCATCTCACCTGTACGCTGCTGTCAGATGACATGCCTTGCATCCACACGTGGCCAGCAGGGAAGTACGCCCCCCAGTTCATCTCTCCACCAGTACGGTTTCATCTCACCTGTACGCTGTTGTCAGATGACATGCCCTGCATCCACACGTGGCCAGCAGGGAAGTACGCCCCCCAGTTCATCTCTCCACCAGTACGGTTTCATCTCACCTGTACGGTGTTGTCAGATGACATGCCCTGCATCCACACGTGGCCAGCAGGGAAGTACGCCCTCCAGTTCATCTCACTCCCAGTACGGTTTCATCTCACCTGTACGGTGTTGTCAGATGACATGCCCTGCATCCACACGTGGCCAGCAGGGAAGTACGGCCCCCAGTTCTTCTCCTCATGCGCCCACCCACTCCCCTCCACCCCAACCCCCTCACTCTCATTCCAGAAGCGGTAAGAGGCGGTCGAACCAAGGCTGCAAGGGATGGGAAAACAAAGAGGAAGGCTGGATGGTCCTGGACTGGAAAATAACACCATATACCTCCACTGCGCTCTCTTCACATTATCACTCTCATTCCAGAAGCGGTAAGAGGCGGAAAAGCTACACATTGCGTTGAACCAGTGGAACGGAGAACCAGTGGAACGATGAGGCGGAGGTCGAGGGTGAGGTAAGCAAGCACGCGGTAAGAAATCGATGAAACCGATACCATGTGCTGCTCACCTCACTCTCACACTCTGCCTCATCGTTTCACTGCTTCTCCGATGCTGAGTGTAGCTTCTCCTGCTTGAGCGCACGTATTGAAAAACCAGTGGCATTGCAGGTCGCCCACTCCCACAGGAATAAGCTGTGACACTGATGCTGCCCAGCCCACCCTCCCCTCTGGTCCTACCTTAGACTGACAATAACTACAGACTCAACTCAAGCAAGCGCACCTGTTGACAAACCAGCGGCAAGGCAGCTCACCCAATCCCTGCAGTACCAGCTGAGACACTTGTGCTGCCTGTCCCTCTAAGCCTGCCTTGGTTGGACTGACAGTGCACATCAATTCGAACCAAGACCGCCACCCACCTGTTGACAAACCAGCGGCATGGCAGCTCGCCCAACCCCCCAGGTACAAGCTGAGACACTTGTGCCGCCCACCCCTCTGGGCCTGCCCCGGGATCAGTCGGGTTCCAGTGGCGCTGGTGGCAGGGAGGGTAGGAGAGACGGAAGAGATAAGAGAGATAAGGCGGATAGGTACAGAGTGTTGGTCCAGACTTGCCCGAGAATCAGAAGGGTTTCAGTGGCGCTGGTGGCGGGAGAGGGGAAGAGCGGGAGAGGTAAGAGCGGGAAGAGAAGGAGAGACGGAAGAGAGAGAGAGAGAGACGGGAAAAAAGCGGGAAGAGGAGGAGGGGGACAGGGGATGAAGCTGGTTCGGCTGCCCAACCCTCTGGCCATGCCCTGGATTCAAATGGTTCCTAGGTGCTGGCCGCAAGGAGAGGGGAAGTGAGGAAGAGTGGAGGGAGGGAGAGAGATGAAATGAGCAAGTGAGGAAGAGGGAAGGAGGTGGAAGCAGTGAGGACGGAAGTGAGAAGGAAGGGAGGCTCCACTTTCCATCCACTGCATCATGAGAAGGATTTTTTTTTGTTGATCCAAACAGCATGGAAAGTTGCATTTGGTGCGCAGTGGTAGAGAGCACGTAATCTGCACTCAGGGGAATGCACATGCACATGCACATGCACGTGCACATGCACATACACTTGCACATGCACATACACATGCACATACACATGCACATGCACATGCACATGCACATACACATGCACATGCACATGCACATGCACATGCACACACGCACACCTGGTTGGTGAGGTTGGCTTGCAGTCTCGACCCCCCCACCCTAATGTCCACAGCCATGTGGTTGAACCCATAGCCCTCCACGCGTCACTCAAACACGGGTGGACACACAAATATGCATACACACCCATTCACACCCACACTCGTACCTGGTTGGTGAGGTTGGCTTGCAGTCTCGACCCCCCCACTCTGATGTCCACAGCCGTGTGGTTGAACCCGCGGGAGATCAGAAACCCATGGCCCTCCACACGCCACTCAAACACGGGTGGGGCGGAATCTGACGGATCAGAGGAGACAGGCTTGGGCGGGGGCGCGCCCACTGTTATGCTTGGACGCTGGGGTGGGAAAGAGGGGAGAGGGGTGGGGGTGGGGGGGCGGGTTGTTGCTTGAATGAGCACAAGGAGATGGGCTTGGGCGGGTGCGCGCTTTTTGAGGCGCCTCAAAAATCGTGGGGGGGGGGGGGGGGGGGTATTGCTTGAATGAGCACAAGGAGATGGGCTTGGGCAGGTGCGCGCCCACTGTTATGCTTGGGCGCTGGGGTGGGAAGGGAAAGGGGGAGGAAGGAGGAATAGTGAAGAAAGGGAGGGTAGTCAGAAACCCGTGGCCCTCCATGCGCCAACCGAATATAGGCAGGGCGAAGTCCGACAAGTGAAGGGGAGGGAAGGGGGGAAGGAGGAGGGGTAGTGAAGAGGGGGAGGGTAATCAGGAACCCGTGGCCCTCCATGCGCCAACCGAAGATGGGAGGGGCGGAGTCCGATGGGTCGGAGGCGACGGGCTTGGACGGGTGCGTGCTCTCTCTTATGCGGGGCCGCTGGGGTGGGGATGGGGTGGAGAAACGAGGGAGCAAGATGAGGCGAGTGGGGTGAGGGGACGGGTGGAGTGTGTTGTTTCCACTACGGGTGGCGCAACGTCTGAGGGATCTGAGGCGACGGGCTTGGACGGGTGCGTGCCCACTGCTATGCGGGGCCGCTGGGGTGGGAAGTGGGGAGGAAGGAGAGGAGTGGGATGGGGGAATGTGTGTTGTTTGAATGAGCCATGGCCGGGGCAGAGTCTGATGGTTGGTAGGATACGGGCCTGGGAGAGGTGACTTTTGAGTCGACTCAAATGTCATCTCGGTTGGGAGGAGACGCGCCTGGGAGGGTGGTGGCACACTGTAACGCGGGGGCGCTGGAGTGGGAAGGGCTCAACTCAGGGAAGGAATGAGAGGAGTGGAATGGGGAGAGCGTTGACTTTTGAGTTGACTCAAAAGTCAACTCTGCTGGCTGGCACACTGTAACGCGGGGGCGCTGGAGTGGGAAGGGCTCGACCCAGGGAAGGAATGAGAGGAGTGGAATGGGGAGAGCGTTGACTTTTGAGTCGACTCAAAAGTCAACTCTGCTGGCACACTGAAACGCGGGGATGCTGGGGTGGGAAGGGCTCGACCCAGGGATTGAATGAGAGGAGTGGAATGGGGAGAGCGAGATGGGCAGCATGTGTTGTCTTGATCAGAAGATGGTGGGTGAGAATACAGACAATACATGACAATCAAGAATCAATAAATCTTGACAGACAGGCTCACAACACACACACTTAATTCTTCAATCTCTTCGAATTCCGTTCACTCACCGCTATTTCCATCTTCTCAATCAGCGTCACTTCACATGCTCCCATCCCCAATGCCCCTCCTGCTGATCCACCTGCTGCTGCTGCTGCTGCTTCAAAGGCCTGTGCTTCTGCTTCACCAGCCGCATCATGCCCCATCACGTACTCGAGTGGCCCTTCACCAGATGCTCCTACCCCACACGCCCCTGCCCCATGCTCACGCTCCCCCTCACCGTCCTCCCTCATCACCCTCCGCCCTTCCCCCACCTGACAACTTCTCCGCCCTCCCTCCACCAACATTTCCCCCTCATCCCTTCCCCCATCCGCCGTTTCCCCCTCCCCCTTTTCCGCGTTCCTGCTCCCCGTCTTGGGATGGCAACTGAGCAGCATCGCTATAGAGCGATTTGCTATAGGCATGGAGCCGATAATTGCAGCATAGCTGCCTCCTGTAGAGGGGTCCACCACACGCACGTACCAGCCCTGCGTAGGGAAATTAACATGAAACAAACAAAGCAATATTCATGTTTAAGACTGGGACGGATCGGTAGTAGATAGATCGGTAGGAAGGAAGCGGTACCATGACCGGCATACCTCGAACCAGGAGCACGGACGGCCACGTGTCTGCCAGATCGGCGAGCATCGCGCCACGTGTGGGCTGTGCGGGCTGCTGCTGACGTGGATCGGCGCGACGATGACGAGGGCGACGGCTAGCAGCAGCGCGGGGTTTGACAGGATGGGCACGTGGAAAGAGGGCGCGCGGAACGAGGGCGGGCGGAGCGAGGGCGCGCGGAAAGCAAATCGCGCCATCGACGCTTCACGCAGAGCGGTTCCGCGTGATCGTGCAAGTTATTTAAGAGTCGACGGACGGGCGAACAGGATCGCACCGGCGAGTATCGGATGCAAGGTAGCAAATCTGACTGAATCTTCCAGTAAGAAAGCGCTACTGTCCTTGCAGTGGAAAAACGGCTCTAGAATCCCCACGCCCAGAAATCTCGGAAGATGGGCCATTATGCACCGTGAGTATGTGGAGAATGTACCTCACTCTCCTTTGCAATGAGGTGAATTATTCCCTCCCAATGTCGAAATCCCCGCCCAGGTACAAGGTGGGAGATGTCGACTGCGACTGACGTAGGCAAGTAACGATGTGGTGCCTGCACGCATGGCGGCGAGACGATTCAGCTCGGCATCACAGCGAACAGGCAAAGGTGATGCGGATTGAATCGTCGGCATGTCAGGTTGAGTCAGAACATCAGTTCGTTTTTAGCTCGAATCGAAACCCCACGAAATCGTTCTAGACTCATAAAAACACGCTGGAAATCTCTAAGCATCTCACCTCACCGCTCGTCCAACTCAAAAAGGGAAAAACCAATCGAAGAGATGTGGGAGATGTTTTAGAAAATACCTTGCTAACAGTTTCATTTCAAACAATTCCCAGCCTAATTGTACAGTAGCAAAATCTGGACTTTTCATACCGAGGACGTCAACTTGGTGGAGGACAGTGCAGCACGTGGTTCCCTAGGTCGCGTCGCGACTCGTGTTCAACGTCATTGCGCCACGTCATCTCATCACTACCAGGACTTCAGAAATTTCACATTTCCCAGCACATTCATTCTGAGATTCCCCCCTTCAGACAATGTCTATGTTCTCAAAGCTTATTCGTTGGCACCACTACAATTAGCTCAGTGGGCAACAAGTGGTCAGGAGGGTTAGTCGAACCGCGATCATACAGTAGTTAGGCCTTCGCAACGAGATTGACCCACATCGCAGTCGCTATGGACCCGTCGCTCCTCCTCCCCCGTCCATCGCGTCCGTTCACTCCCTCACATCCAACGGTGAGAAATGCATCCCGGCTTGTGTCGCAACCGGCGTCGTCAGTCTCCCCGTCCTCACTATCCGCGGCGCCATTCCTGCGGAGTTCCGCCAGTGCGCGCACATGTGTTCGCGTGGCAGTAGCGATGTCAGGGAGAATTCCGCCGCGAGAACCGGCGGATTCAGCGCGCACTGGGGGGAGTGGGGGGCGCGGAACGGTAGCGGCGGCGTCGCTGAAGCGCCCACCAGTGGGGCTGGGCGCGGAAGGCGCGCTGGCGGAAGAAGTAGCGGCGGAAGCGGTGGAGGATCTGCTGGGGGAAGGGGAATCGGAAGGGGAAGAGGGAGCGAGCGCGGCAGTTGCAGACGTGGCAGGGTCTGAATCCGACGTGGACCGACCCGTGGTGGAAACGCGGTGTGTGAGGGAGGAACGGGCTGAATCCGGGACGAGAAAGCAAGTGAGGGAGTGAGGGAATGTGGGAGTGAGGGAATGTGGGAGTGAGGGAATGTGGGAGTGAGCGACTGAGGAAGTGAGTGAGGGAGTCAGATGATTGATGGAGTGGTGGTGAGGGTGTTGAACTCTTCAAGTTCTTCTTCACCCTTCCTCCCCTCCTCCCCTCCTCCCCCTACTAATCGCCCCCAGCACCTGGTTGTGGCGAGGCGAGGCCACTTAATCCGATACCACAGTCGACTCAAAGGTAGGCTCACAGGGCCCTCCTATCCCCACGCCCCTCTTCCCTCCCCATTCTGCCCCCCTCCCTCCCCCCAGCACCTGGACCTGCCGAGGCCACTCCATCCGCTACCAGCAATGCGGCGCCCAGGGCCCTCCAGTCCTCCTTTCCCCATTTCCTCTGCTCCTCCTCCTCCTCCCCCTTCCCTCCGCTCCCTTCCCCCTCTTCCCCCTTTTCCCTCCCCCCAGCACCTGGTTTTGGCGCGGCCCCTCCATCCGCTACCAGCAATCAAGCTCCCAGGGCCGACTTTTGAGTCGACTCAGAAGTAGGCTCCCAGGGCCCTCCTATCCCCACGCCCCTCTTCCCTCCCCATTCTGCCCCCCTCCCTTCCCCCAGCACCTGGCTGTGGCGCGGCCACACAGTAAGGTATCAGCAATCTGGCTCCCAGGGCCCTCCAATTCTCCTCATTCACGGATTCAGCGCCAGCAGCGACCACTGGTGGCATACGCTGTGAGCGCTGGGAGCATAACCTCCTCTTTCCCCTCCCTTAACCCCCTTTTTTCTCCCCCTCCCTTAACCCCCTTTTTTCTCCCCCTCCCGCCCCCCTTCTTCCCGCGTCTTCCCCCTTCCCCCAGCACCTGGATCTGACGCGGCACACGATCAGGTACCAGCAATCTGGCTCCCAGGGCCCACCCATCCTCCTACCTACCCCTTTTTCCTCTCTCCATCCCCCTTTCTCCGCCCCTCCCTTCCCCCAGCACCTGGCTCTGGCGCGGCCACTCGATAAGGTACCAGCAATCAGGCTCCCAGGGCCCGCCTATTCTCCTGATTCACGGATTCGGCGCCAGCAGCGACCACTGGCGGCATACACTTAAAGCCCTGGGAGCATCGGGGCACCGCGTGTTTGCGATCGACCTGCTGGGGTATGGGTACTCGGATAAACCCACTCCATGCTACCGGATTAAGAAGGAGCAGCAGCCGGAGCAGGGGAATGGTGCTGCTGTTGGTGCTGCTGGTGTGAGTGGTGGCGAATCAGAGTACACGTTTGAGAACTGGGGGCAGCAGGCCGTTGACTTCATTGACCAGGTGGTGGGCGAGGAGGCTTTCATTGTCACCAACTCCGTGGGAGGTGAGTGAGAGGGTGGGTGAGTGAGTGAGTGAGATGAGAGGGTGGGTGAGTGAGTGAGTGAGTGGGTGAGTGAGTGAGTGAGTGAGTGAGAGGGTGGGTGAGAGGGTGGGTGAGTGAGTGAGAGGGTGGGTGAGTGAGTGAGTGAGAGGGTGGGTGAGTGAGTGTGTGTGTGAGTGAGTGAACGAATGCGTGAGAGAGCGAGTGGGTGAGTGCATGAAAGAGTGGTCAGGAGGTGAGTGGACGGTGTTACATGAGTGAGTGAGTGAGTGAGTGAGTGATTGAGTGAGTGGATGGGTGGGCATCCAACCACCCTAGCACATTCTAGCACATTTCCCTCTCCCTCTCCCCCTATTTGCTCCCATAACCAGGAGTGGTAGCACTGCAAGCAGCAGCCACCCACCCCTCTAAAGTCCGCGGTCTCCTCCTTCTAAACATCTCCCTCCGAAACCTCCACATACGAAAGCAGCCCTTCCTCGCCCGCCCCTTCGTTTCCCTCCTCCAATCCACCCTCCGCTCCACCTCCCTCGGGGAGCAATTCTTTGCCTCGGTAGCCACGCCTCGCGCCGTGCGTAACGTGTTACGCCAGTGTTACGGCGACCCTGCTACAGTGACGGACGAGCTCGTGGATTTGATTCTCAAGCCTGGGCTGCAGCCCGGGGCGGTGGATGTGTTTCTGGATTTTATCTGCTACTCGGGCGGCCCATTGCCAGAGGATTTGCTACCCAAAGTGCAGGTGGGTGGGCAGACGGGTGCAGCAGGTGGGTGCAGGTGGGTGCAGGTGGGTGCAGCAGGTGGGTGCAGGTAGGTGTGCGGATTTTGAGCCTTCGAGTCAACTTCTGTACCTGTTTCTTTGTCTGCTACTCGGGCGGCCCATTGCCAGAGGATTAGCTACCCAAAGTCCAGGTGGGTGTGGGGAAAGTGAGAGGCTCGCTTTACAATTGTGAGGCGAGCGTGGGTTGCAGCCGGGGGCGTTGGATGTGTTTTTGGGTTCTAACTGCCAGAGGATTTGCTACCCAAAGTGCAGGTGGGTTTGGGAGGATTGGGAGGGGGGTGAGTCATCCTTGAGAAACAAGTGCTGATCCATGTATTAGTCTAAGTGGCTTTTGAGTTGACTCAAAAGTCACCTCTGATCCATGTGTTAGACTAATCTATCTGCCATTTAAGCTGCCCATTTTCCCCCCACCCCCTCCTCATTCCCGCTGCTTCCCCCCTCCCTTCTCCCTCCCTGTGCTGTTTGGGTGGGGCCAGGTAGACCCTTGGGAGCCAGTGGAGCAATGCATGCAGCTTTGAAGGCTGCATACACTTTCCAGCATCTCACATCACTACATTCTAACCCCTCGTTCCTTCCCTCCTCCTCTCCCTGTCTCTATTCCCCTATCCTCCCTCCCTCCCATTCATTTTCTCCAGTGCTGTGTGCTGTTCGGGTGGGGCCAGAGGCAGACCCCTAGGAGGCAGTGGAGCAACCCAGCAAGATTCACAGGCTGCACACAACACACACTCTCCTCTCTCATCTCACAATGCTCCATCCCCTCGTTCCCTCTCCCTCCCCCATTCCAGTGCCCTGTGCTGTTTGGGTGGGGTCAGGCAGACCCCTGGGAGCCAGTGGAGCAAGGCAGGCGACTCAAGAGGAAGCACTCTCCCACACAATGCTCTACCTGTTCGTTCTCTCACCCCTCCCTCTCCCTTTCACCCTCTGTCCCTCCCTCCGTCCCTTCCCCATTCTCCAGTGCCCTGTGCTGTTCGGGTGGGGTCAGGCAGACCCCTGGGAACCGGTGGAGCAAGGCAGGAAGATTCACAGGCTGCACACAACACACACTCTCCTCTCTCATCCCACAATGCTCCACCCCCTCGTTCCCTCTCCCCCATTCCAGTGCCCTGTGCTGTTCGGGTGGGGCCAGGCAGACCCCTGGGAGCCAGTGGAGCAAGGCAGGACACTCAAGGATTTCCCCTGTGTGGTCGGTTTTGAGGAGTTCCCAGGGGTGGGCCATTGCCCTCAAGATGAGGCTCCCCACATTGTTAACCCCCTTATAGAGCGATTCGTTGCCCAGTATAATAAAGTCTCAAGGTGAATGCTAAGGTAGACTTGACTCGTGAGCCTGTTATCTCAGATTTATCGCAAAATTCTTCCCATATGCTTCCATCAATCACAAGACTAGGCTTGAAGACCAAGGAGGCATGAACTCTTAGCAATGACAGTGCATTTCTAATTTTTGCACAGTTATGGCAACCTAGAGTCTTCCATACGGTTGCAGACGGCTAACCCAGCAGGGGTAGCCGTCCTCAATCGGAACAACACCCCTATCGCCAGGAGTCTCAGCACTAGCTGAATGAATGAGCTGCACAGAAGGTACGGTATATACCCTACACCCTCGTCTTAGCGTCTCCCAACCAATTTTGGAAAGCACCAAGTGCGCTTATGGACATGCAGTTTACGTGGAGAGATCAGATACTAGCATGCGGGCCTACGGATTAGCTGGGTTGGAAACCCGCGGAAAAACTGCCCGCGAATCGCTCCCTCCGGGTACATGTCCGTTGCAATTGTCGCGTAGTATTTGCCTGGATTCTTCTCTATCGCTTTCACCATCTTGTAGACGGACATGCCTGTACCGGGGATCATAACTTGCGGTGCACGCTTGAAGACGCGCTTCAGTTCCAACTGATCCTCGTTTCGTTGTGTCCACGTGCCCTCGATGTTCCACACCACAGCACCGTTCGCGCCACGTCTCCCGAGGTTAATCGATTGGTTGAGAGGCGGCATTGGGAGCGAAAGCTCGTGCGTGTTGTAACTGATATGGACGTCGATCCCGCCTTGATACCTGCGGAACGCGGCGAACGAAGGCCGTAGGAATTCCGAGATTAATTGGGAGCGGAGACGGGGGAAAACAATGTTAGGGGAGTGGAACGGGGGATAGACACTGGGCGGGAGAGCTATGCGTGTTGTAACGGATGTGAACATCCAACCCGCCTTGATACTTGCGGAACGTTGTGATTGAAGCCCGTAGGAGAGCCGGTGCGCGCATGGGGGAGGGAGAGGACAACAGGGAATGGCACGTGAATTTTGTGAGATTCTGAAAAACTGGGGAAGGTCGACGATCCAGCACTGGAAGAGGACCGAGGAAGAAAGATGTGGGAGGATGAAGGTCGTACGAGGCGCGGTGCAGACGTCAGCTTTGGTATCTAGCGTACCAAAGAAGTCGCGGAGGACTGAGAAAGCAGGACTTTTGAGACATCTCCTAGCTTGTTCGAGTTTTGAATGTGATTGTAGAAGTGATTCTAGGTGCCTTCTTACTTGTACACGTAGATGTTTAGGTCGCCATTGCCGCCGAGATCCCCGCCGAGCGACGAGCTGATGACGGCATTGTCCTTCAGATCCACCCGCAAGCTACCTGCGCGTGACAGTAGACAAGTGTGGCAACACACAAGTGTGCCACTATCAAAGTCAACGGTGGTGCGAGCGGAAGAAAAAAAGCGGAACGCAGAATGCGCGGGGATGGATTGCGGAAGGGGATGTGCGGAATGCAGATATGCAGAAATTGCGGAATCCGGAAAGTCAAGAGGCAGATCCCTCCTGCTCTAAGAAGATAAGAACTTGACGAACTCGGGATCCGTTTCATACAAGAGGTGACGTTTGAGACGACGCAAAAGTCACCTCGAACTTGCCGAACTCTGGCTCTTCTCAATATAAGAAGCCTCCGGTTGCCGGATGCGTAAACGCAGGGGCTCGGAGAAAGAAACTCGGAGGAAAGGGCGTGCATACTGGAAAAAAAATGAAAGCATGGGGAGACGACCAAAAAATTCGTTTGTTTCTAATTTGCCCGAGGGGAGAATGGGCCGGACATACATCTTAAAATCCCGGGCGGCGGGGCGATTCGTTCGACGGGTCCGACCCCGTTAAATGCGGAGGCTGTCGCGGCGAAGAGAGATAGTAGAAGCAGCAAGCCTGCAGGTCAGAGCACAGTAGCGAAGAAAGGGATGAAATGACTCTTTCGAGAAGCGCAATAACCCCAGACGATAAGAACGGCTGCAAGAACATAAACTTCAGAATCTGCCAAGCGGTTGCTATGGCTTCTCGGAGAGCACTATAAGAACGGGTCCCAGTGTCATGTACTACGGGCTCGCATAAGAGCGCAGAACAACGGAAAATTACATACTGAGGAGAAGAGCGTTGCACAAGAGTCGCTTTTGAGAATTCTCAAAAGCAACGGAGAAGTACATACTGAGGAGAAGAGCGTTGCACAGGAGGGCGCGGCTATTGGCCTCTCTGCCGTACCTGGAAGGTCGCGCCTGAGGTGAAACGTCATTATCTGCGAGGCAGCGGCGGCTTTTTTGTATGGTCGAAACAGGACAAGGATGCGTAATGCAGATTTGGGAGCCTTGAATATTGCTGTGAGCCTATTAACTCAAAGATCAGATCGCTGGTAGTTAGCCTCTCTTTTGCTAATTGATTGTTGAGAGCGTGAAAGTAGGTTAGACGCGTTGAGCAAGAGGGTGCAAGTCTTTATGTATCGACACATCTGCGATCTGTAAATGCTTGGGTTCGTCATGGAAGGTCGTCGAATGTGTGAAGGATGATCGCAGAGCAGATGGATGGATGTCGGTTTTCTGGAGATAGGAAAGTGGAAAGAGGAAAGGCGCAATTTGGCCAAATCCGACTGTCGTACTGTACATTTGATGTAAATTCGCGCCTGTTCGTTCCGACGCGACGCGACACGATTGTTGCACCCCAATGCCCAATGCTCCCAGCTCAGCAAGAAAGTCACGCACGTCGCAGCGTTCTGCGATCGTTGGGGTTTGCTGTGAAGCAGTGTTTGTCGGCACGCATCACAAAACCCGCAGGCGAAAGTCAGTCGACCATTACATACGTACTGTGCGATAAACTCTGTCGGTGGTGCTGATCACCACCGTACACGTTCTACAGTAAAGTCAAATCTTCACGAGTGTACGCATTCGTTGCGATGCAATCACATCCGTTTGGGTGACGTATCACTCGACCGACTGGCGCTCATCCGCGCTAGCGTATGCAGCTTTTTGTTTCACGTCCCTCATACACTACTTTCACTAGATTGCTATAAGCATATTCAGCTAATCCGCACTGTTTCTTGTGGTGCGGAATGATAAGGTTTAAATTATGATAGTAAAAATTAGTCAAGACCATGATTACAAATGTGGGATGAATTAAACACCGCACCCATTCTGTACAATCCAACATCTCCAGACTAAAGAAGGAACCTCTCCTAGCAAACTCGGCGGTTCACAAGCAGCTTAGGAAAATGACGAGAAAACTGCCCTCGAATAGCTCCCTCAGGAAAGGCGTCAGTGGTCACAGTCGCATAGTACATTTTAGGCGTTCGGTCTATCATCCTCACCATCCTATACACGCTTTTGTACGCGCCAAGAGGTCGCCTCCCTCTTGCTTGGGTAAACCATGAGTCGAGTTGCATCTGGTTGTCGCTCTGCGGCACCCACGTCCCCGTGATGTTCCACAGCCATCCACCGTTGAGTCCCTTGGGCCCGAAATTGATGGTTTGATTGAGAGGCTTCGAGTTGCTGTCAAGGCCGTAGGAGAAAAGGATCACTCGCACGTTGATATGGTTCCTGAAGCTGCATGGCGGCAGAAGACAAAGCAAGCAAGGCCAGGGGAAACCACGGTGGCATTGAAGTGCGGAATTGCATTTTCTGTCGCGAAGTGGAGGGGCCTTCAGGTATCGAAGGGGAATGCTAGTAACGGGGTTTGAAATCCGCAACTGTACCGGCGCAGGATACCAACAAGTCAAATTCCAAACGTGAATGCGGACACACCAGGAGTTAGAACATGTACCTGTACACGTAGATATCGAGGGTGCCTTGTGAGTTAGGCGCTCCCGAAGCTCCAACGACGCCATGAGCCGCCATATTGGCGCGCAGTACGCCTGCAGTAGCCGCGACAGCAAGCAGGATAGAATAGAAAGCGAGGCAGGCCAGGAAGTCGTACCCTATCAATAGAGGTTCAGATTTGCATTGCATGCTAACATGTAATTGCACTGCAAGAGAACATATCCATGCCACATGACTGTCAGAGAAAATAATGAGAGCCACGCTAAGGAGTCGTTCTTGTCGGAATGGAGGTCTAAGTCTGCAGATCAAGGTGCTTTTATAAGTGGCGTATGTGCCGCTGGAATCGGTGCGTGTCTGGTCTGTAATGATAAGCTTTGCTTTAGGGGACAACAATGAATCGGGAAGCCTCACATCTCAATGTTCCAGGAAACGTGTTGCCTCTTGCGAAAGGGCCCATCGCGCGAGCTGTGCTGGCGACGCCCATCACCAACAGGCATACCAGCACAATCTCTGCAAGAAACGCAACGGAGAAGGAGGGTGAGAAATGTGCTGTCGAGAAATTGGGAAATGCAAAAGTACGAGGAGGTTTATCTGTTGTGGAAATACTGCTTACCCAAGCCTGGCAGAGCATTCCGGGCCATTGGCTGCATTCGATATATATGTATCACGTCAAGTCGATTCCCAACTATAGGGTCAGCCCTAAGATATCACAGCGCTTTGAGTTTAGGATGTTGGAAATCGATCTACTTGCACTACTCTATTCGTGTGGAACGGACTCGCGATTAACCGCCCCTGTTGTGCCTTTCAGACAACTATCAACTTCAACCTTCTGCCTACGGAATTGAGATTCTTGAATTGGTTTCGTTCGGGAAATTGGGACTCGAGCCGCGGTGGCCCTGGTTGGATGAATCCCCCAAGCGGGAAGCGAAGCCCTCTTGAATTCGCGATGATGCTCGCTTTTCGCACTTGTCGCACGAATGTGCCAAGTGCTGGAAGCACAAGACTGCGAGCTGACGGCTGTCAGCTCACACGCTCATTATAGAATACTGCATTGTATCACGGGTTGATTAGTACTGTACAGCTGTGAGAACTACCGTACATTTGATGACGTTTGCCGTTGCACAGTGCTCGCCGACGAAACTGGAGGTGATGTATCACCGCCAGTCTGGGCGGTGCGTTGTAAATCCGAGACCCACTCTCGAGCCGCAAATGTCTAGTTCGTGCACGAAAATACCGAATCGCGATGTCCCTCCCAACTCCGCACCCTGGAAACTTTCACATCCCTCCTCATCAATCAAACCCCTCACTTCCTTCAACCAGAAAACGAGTATCTCAGCCCAGGTATCACCTAACGCGCTTCCGCTTGTGGGTGGGGAGGAGACCAAGGAGAGGAGAAACCAGTGGAGCGCCGCAAGCATCTTTTGGCATGACTCCTCGTGCGTGCTGCTCAAAAATATATCAAAGTCAGCTTCTCAAAATTCAGTAGCACAATCTGTAACTTGATAAAAACGCGATAAACTTCAGAGACGCTTTTGCCCCCATCAGCTTTTCCATCAGTCGCCGCAACAGCTACCCCCAGAACTAGTAGCACGTGCAACAATCTTCCACCATGGCATGGGCAAGACAAGCGGCGTCCAGAAGCTTCCTAAATTTACTCGTCGTCGCCCTTGCTACCAGCGCCGACGCGAGAATTTTTAGGCAGCCCGTCCTCGGCCGCCTGCTTCCGTTCCCAGGAAGACTACGATGTGAGTCCGCATTTCGCGCACACTGGCCAGTTAAAGCTCCCATACATTGTTTACTGAGCCAGTTAAATAGATTCAAGACGCCACTCCAAGGGCGACTAAGAGATAGCCCGCAATCTGTATTCTGCAGCGTCTCAAAGAGCGATTCACGGAAGACTCTGAATTAAGCCCCCCTCCCGTCAGCCTTACCGTTTAAACTCAACCAATATGGTCATCGCTCAAACATGCACGTCCAGAATCCCGGTGGTCACTCAGAGTTTCATAGCGCAGTTCTCTTCCCGCAACATAAACGTTCAAAATATGAAAGCCCGAAACTACTTCCAATAGTCGTGAAAGTCGAAGTTGCAACGGAAGCCGTCGACAGACATCGTCAATGCTGCTGTCTGACAACCTCGTTTCTCCCCCTCTTCCTACTGCGTATCTTCCATGCGTGCTGCGCGCCGATTTGAGCTCCAACGAGGTGCAGAGCACGTCATGGGAGGCGATGCGGGCGCCAATGCTGACCTTTATCGTCTCCACACATTCTCCCTACCTTTTGCCCTTCGCGTGTATTTCAGGTGTGCTGCGCGCCGATATGAGTTCTAACGAGGTGCTGAGCTCGTCACTGGGCGGCGATGCGGGCGCCAGTGCCGATCTCTGGATCCGCTTGTACTGGTAAGCCGTACTACCCTTATCGAGTGCGTCGCTTATTAAGTGCATTAGGGTGCAAGTCGGCAAATAGGATTGCCGCTATGTCACAGCACTATGCAGTCCCGCGCCTCATCGCCCTCTTTCCCCGCTCGTCTACTGTTCATTCTCTCCCTCAAACTCTGAGGTTACCCTTTTCGCCTTTGTCGCACTCGGTTATCGTTGTTCCTCTTATTTCCTCTCTATCGCCTTCCAACTAATTCCCAACTCATCTCTCGCTCAACAAACCTGCAGGTTTCAGAATCAGCTTAACGCACACGTGCACTTCAACGGTCACGATCTGACGGGCCAGCTCCCTCCAAACAACCAGTCGATCAACCTCGGCTTCAAAGGCCAGAACGGCCCCGTCGTTTGGAACATCGAGGGCACGTGGACCGTTCAAAACCCGGAGCAGATTGAGCTGGACCGTTGGATCATGGGCACGCGGAGAACGATGGTTCCTGGAACGTCGATGACGTTCCAGCAACTAATCCATCGAATCGACAAGAATCCCACCAAGTTTTACGGCACCATCAGCACAGACAGCTACCCGAATGGCGCCGTCCGCGGACAGTTCATTCGAGGTTTTCCCAACATGCTCTTGCCCGTCCCGCGGTGTAATTAAAACTCTGCAGTGGCCGCGCAATGCACCTTATTAGACCAGGATTTCACTCAGCTGCAGCTGACTCTTTGAGAATGACTCCCTCTTTGAGAATGACTCCCTCTTTGTCCAGAAGAAGTGTTTGGACAAAGTTAGCGTTCCAGACACGAACTGTACAGAGTATGGGTTGTGATAAGCTGGCTCAAAATCAGCGTTCCAGTTAAAGGTAGTGCTTAGGTCTGGTGTAGGCTAGCTTGACTGTGGCTGTTGCTTTCCCCCGCAAGGCCAAACTTAGCAACTTGGTTTCTCAGCTGTGATATGGCAGCAATAGGGGCACGATTGGGTAAGAAGCTGGACGTTTTTGTGTCTCTGATTGCTTTGTATCATTCATTGTGTTCTCTAAACGTTTGGCACTTTGCCCTGTCACCAGGCCCTTACATTAGTAAACTGTACGTACCAGAGATACACAGTTCTGGTATATGAGACAGGCAAGTAATCACGATGTGGACAAATGTTTGAATAGAAATTACAGAATCTGCAGAAAAAATGGCCCAGTTACACAACTACCGTCAACAAGGGTTGATAAGTCAGCCCCATGGCATCTGTTGGGTCCACCACTCCAATCCACTCGCACTTCTTTACTGAAAACAGACATCACTCCTCGTTAGGGCTGAATTGTGTGCAGGGATGTGGGGCTCAGCACGCCACAAGGCACCCACAAAAGCCATCCCATCCCACTTTGATGGTAGCTGTATAAAGGAGGAAGCTACTGGCATTTGAATTTGTGTCAGCCAAAAAAAATTCACGTGAGATGATAACCATCATAGATGTTTCGCACCTCAGACAATGGGAAGGCTGTGTTTGACTATTTTCCAGTAATATGATGTTACAATCTGAAGTGGGACTTAACGAAACAAGGATCGTTCAGGGTTGATCGCAGGTAGTGTTGCAGCGGAAGTAGTGAACTCAGGTCAGAGTGAATGTAAAATGACTGAGATGATAATAGCATGCATACATAGGGTTTATATAGAAATACAAGGGAATGCGAAGCGACCTAGACTAGTCATGTACTCTAAGGGGTACATTCCCTTATTAGAGCGAATTTCAAACCGTGCGGCGCGGGAGTCAGTTTCAAACCTGTTCCCGCTCTTTTCATTTCAAATGTCTCTGCCTGCATCGGTCTTGATCAGGCGGTTGCTGTGTCGCTTCGATTCTTCTGACTCCTCGTCTTCGTACTCGGTAGAGACGTCTCCTGCAGCGTACAGGAATGCCTTCTCATTGAACTTCGTATCGTAACACTCCCCTTCATTCCTGAACGCGGAGGATGCTGACTTGCTTGACCACTCCAGTGAGATTGGAGCAGTGTTTGAACTGTTGACGTGGCAGCCGCTTGGTAAGGAAGTCGGCTGCCATTTCAGTGGTCGGGCAGTATGCGAGGTCAACCTTGCCTTGGTCGATTTCGTCTTTGACGAAGAAGTACCGCAGTGCGATGTGCTTCGTGCGGTTCACGAATCCAGGTTTGTTCGCGATCTTGATCGCGCTCTGGTTGTCGCAGTGCAGGCGAAAGGTGGGCGAAGTTGGGATTTTCGCTTCCTGTAGCAGCTCCTGCAGGTACAGACCTTCGCGAACTGCTGCTGTCGCGGCGATGTATTCAGCTTCGGCCGATGACAGGGCAACCAGTTCCTGCTTCTGCGAATTCCAGGAGATGGGGCCAGTTGGCTCCAGGCGGAAGACAAAGCCGGTTCGGGACCGTCGATTCGCTGGGTCAGCGGCGTGGTCGGCATCCACATAGCCGTTGAGGTTGAAGGATGTTGTTGACAGCGTGGAGTAGGAGAGCCCGATGTCAGGTGTGGAAATGAAGTACTGCAGGGCGCGCTCCAGGTCCAGCTGGTTCTCGGCTATTGGCTTGCGTGAGTACTGTGCCAGTTGGCTGGCGATGTACGAGAGGTCGGGTCGGCATGTGACAGATGCAAAAAGCAGGCAACCCAGTTGCTGCTGGTACAGTTGGAGTCCGGCAGGGGACAGAGGTTTGTTGTCCGGTTTGTAGTTGGTGCCGGGGTTGCGGTAGGGGGTTGAGAGTGGTGCGCGTGGGATGTTGAAGCGCTCCCCCAGCTGCTCTGCGTATTTTGAAGCTGACAGGTGAATTGCTTCTGGCGCGTGGGTGATGTTCAGACCCAAAAACTGAGTGACTTTGTGGTTGATGGTGATGTCCACGCGCTTTGCCAGATTTTCTTCGAACTGATTAAGGAGCAGGTTGCAGGTGCCAGTGTACAGCAGGTCGTCGACATAGACGGTGAGGAGGATGTAGTCACCGTTGAAGTGGAGGCGGTACATTCCCGGGTCGTGCGGCAGCTGTCTGAAACCTATCTCGATCAGGATCTTGTGCAGATGCTGCTGCCAGAGACGAGGCGCTTGCTTGATCCCATAGAGGGACTTCTTCAGTTGACAGACCCTGGGATCACCTTCTCCGTAGGTGTGTGCCTGTTCCACAAAGATGGTGGCGTCCACCAACGCGTATAAAAACGCGTTCTTCACGTCGATCTGTCGCAGTGGCAGATGCTTAGCGGCGGCAATGGCGAGTAGAATTCGGACTGAGGTGTGACGGCTGACGGGAGCAAAGGTTTGATCGAAGTCAATGCCGTGGCGCTGGTCGTATCCTCGTACGACCCACCGGGCTTTAAAGCGTTCGATAGTGCCGTCAGCGTTAGTTTTCAGACGAAAAACCCATTTGCCGCTCAGTACCCTTCTCCCCTTCACTGCTGCACGATCGATGAGAACCCAGGTGTTGCGGGATTCCAGCGCCTTTAGCTCCGCATCCATCGCAGCACGCCACTCCTTGGCGTGGGGCCCGGTTAGGGCCTGGCGAGGGTTCTTGGGTTCTGCAGCCCGGGCAAGGGTAGAGACGGATACGTGTAGGCCGAGAAGCTGGAGGCCTGACACGGTGGTGGTGCCTGTGGTGGTGGGAACTTCCACCACATCGTCGTCGCCGCTCTCATAGCCGGGTGTTGCGGCACGTGGCGTTGCTTGGCGCCGTGATGGTCCTGGCGCGGGGTCGTCGTCACTGTCATCGTCGTCGTCGTCGCGCGGGCGAGGCGGGACGCTGGGATGTTCGTGGGTATCGTCACAGTCTAGAACTGCTGCTCCTGCTTCATCTTCCGGTGTCGCAAAACTGCGGCCGCTGTTGACATAGCCGCGTGCCTGGTTTCGGCGTTCGTCCTCGATCCACTGCTTCAGGGTAAGTCGTTCGTAGAAGAGAATGTCACGCGCAGGAACGATCTCGTTACTGTCGATGTCAAGGATGAGCCAGCCTTTGTGCTCGTGACTGAGCCCCAGATGAATTCCCCAGCGCGCACGATGAACGAACTTGCCAATTGTGGCCGAGGTCGGCCGATATTGCACCATACACCCCCAAACCCGCAGCATGGAGGGGTCTCCCCTTGAGCCGGTCCACTTCATGTGGGGGGATAAGTTATCCCTATTGGCTGTGGTGGAGAGGAGGTTGTGCAGGCGCACCGCGTGGTTCATGGCGTAAGGCCAAAACTTCTTGGGCAGGCCAGATTGGTTCATCATGGCGCGGGCTTTTGTCATGAGGGTGCGATTGACCCTCTCAGCGACGCCTTGCTGCTGATGAGCGTAGGGGAGAGAGATTTCATGCTTGATCCCTTTCTCAGTGAGGACACTCTCCAGCTCGTGGCTGCGAAATTCTTTTGCCCCATCACTCTGCCAAATCTTCAGTTTCCTCCCTGACTGTCGTTGCGCGTGCGCGAGGAAGATGCGGAACACGTCCGGAGCTTTTGAGCGAGCATCGACGTTGGCGATCCACACATAGCGCGAGTAGGCGTCGATGAAGGTCAGCGTGTATTTTTCGCCGTTGAGTCCGTCGCAGGTGAGTACGATGAAGTCGCTGTACACCTTTTCCAGTTTTTTGTAGCGGTTAGTGCTCGGCTCTAGAGAGGGGTAGGCGGTGTGGGAGAGTGCAGCTGTGGGGCAGACAGTGCAGGTGGTCGGGTTTGGCGTGGCACTCTGTAGTTCCGTTCCGTCAGGACGCAGCAATGCGCCAGGCGGAAAAACTTTCGCGCGGAGGCAGTTAGCGAGTGTCTGGCGTGAGGGGTGGCCCAGCCGCTGATGCCAGAGGTCATTTTCGGCACGTATGCCGGAGGTGCGCTTATAACGCGCGTGCTGTTCCGCTTCTTCTGCTTCCGTAGGTTGCGGAATCTGTAGTGGTGGTTCTTCTTCCTCTCCTGGTTCTGCTTCGGGCCCCTCTTCTTCTGCCTCTGCTGTTGTTTCCCCTTCTGCAGGTGCCGTGGTGAGATAGAGGGCGAGAAATTCGCGGTCGGGGATGGTATTTAGCGGCGTCTTCGTGCCTTCGATGAGGCGCGCAAATGGATCTGGACGAGAGATTGGACCGAGAGAGTCTCGTGCTGGTGTTGGAGGTATGTTCCCCTCCTCAAGCTCTGTCCAGGTGCTTCCCCATCGGTGGGGTGAACGTGGAGGCGAGTGTGCGGGTGGCGGTCGCCCGAGGGGTATGGTGATGCGAGGAGATTCTTCTCCGCGCTCAGCTCGCATCTCTCGTTCTGCTTTCTCCAATTCTTCTTGTGTTAGTTCTGCTTCGTCTGGTGCTGCCGTGCCCCATCCACCTGTGGTAACCGTGCCGCTGGCTGCAGTACCCCAGGCGCCAGTGGCGGATCCCCAAGTGGCGCCTTCTTCTGGTTCGTAATCTTCATCTCCCCATGCCCCTCGTCGTGCGGTTTCCTCGCTCCATCCTGCCGCAACGCGTTCTTCGTACAGCTTCTGTCTCTTCTCTGCCCTGGCCTTCTCCTGTTCTTCCTTGATGCTGAGTTCTCCTTCTGCGTCAGGGTCTTTCCAGGCCGGGTCAATTTCGCGGCGATAAACTTCGCGAGTGTACGGGCGCGGTCGATTTTCTTCATCGAAGGTGCTGGTGTTGGCTTCTAGTATGAAGCGGAGGGTGTCGGAGCGCGGCGTTGGGCGTGGCACCGGTTGTTGACCGAACTGTTTGTTTTCTT